TGTGTTTATGAATCATGCTTCTTTAGAGGAGCAGATGTCCTCTTCAAGCTCCCAGAAGAGATGAAGATTCCATGTGCAAAGTAAGCAATGCAAGCTCTGAACACATGAGAAATATTTGTTTCATTACCCAGGCCCAGTTTCCCAGCAAAGGTTTAAAGAAGTGCCAATGACTTTTCCTTCAGCTGAGAAGCCCCAGCTGCCCTCCAGTCCGGTGCTGTACAAGGAGCTTCATCTTTAGGACTAAGATGAGCTCTTCTGTCTATACTGCCATTTCATGAAGATGCTTCTGTGATTCACAGACTTGACTACAGTCAACCAGTGAACTAGAATGAAAGCCACAGGCTTGGCCTTCACTGCTTCCTTCCAGGCAGCAAGGATCCTATTGGAGGTCACTGGTATCAGAGACACTGAGGATTTGGAGTGCAGCGAGGAAAGAAATGCAGTGACTGCAGATAACACTTCATTGTGTACAGTTCATCAGGAGGAAGAACTGCCTTTGCTGGATAGGATGAAAATAATGCAGCAAAATCAGCAAATCCTGGAAAACCTCCCTCTGACCCTAAAGCTCACAAACAAATCAGAAACCGTCCCTAATCAGGAGCTGTAAAGGAAACTGTAGGGCAACATGCTGTTCTCATTCCATCCCGTGGCTGCTGCTCTCCAGTAGCTCTTGAGGGTTTGTAAGGCAGACACTGACTCTGTGTTTGTCTGATTAGTCAGTAGTTGAGTAAAATGTCAGCTGGAAACATCAGAAAGTGAAACTCGGGAGAAAGACAGAGTGCTTACCTGATAGGCAGTCCTTCCACTCGGGGACACGACTCGGGTGACAGAACGGTGATCCACCAAATCCAAAGCTGGGACAGCAGATGGGCCAAATATGAACTTCAGCCTGAAAGAAAAAGTGTCTCTGTTTAGGTCATGCCACAAAAGGAGATCACCTGACCTAGTTTAATCCACAGGACTTAGCCCTGTAGAGGCCTATAGCCAAAGGGTCCCTTTGTATCCCCAAATCCCACCAGTTACAGCTCCACTATCCACCAAACAACGCGTTCATTTGCCATTCTCAGCTTTGCTGGCTTTCACCACTGACTGCCAACCCTGTCTCTGAGACAGCCCAGATGACAGCCCTGCTCCTGGAAGACACATCTCTGCAAATCCCAATGCAGATTTAATTACAAGGCATTTTTAGGATTTTTTTTTTTTCCCCATGGAACATGCAGTGGTTCCTGTCCTGAACCAAAATGAGACAAAGTGCATCAGAGACACAGCAGTGAGATTTGTACCTCAGCCTCTGACTGTGAGGCAGCGTTAGCCATGTAGGTGAGAAGAACATCTGATAAGCTGCATGTCAAACCCACACAGCTGTACCTCTAGCCTATTGTCCAGACAGCTCATGAGCCTGAAATTATTGTAGAGCTGCACATCCAGCTGCTCTGAGAGCATTCCAAAGAGCCCAGGGGCAGCTGAGATAATCCTTACAGACCTTTTATTCACTGAGGAAAAAAATGTGCAATCTATATTAGTTGCAAAGGTAACCAACAAGAGAATCAGCAGCCATGAAACAACAGTACAAAACATGAGCAGGAGAAAGGAGAGGAACACTTCAAACAGTGCCAAAGAGCTGAGGCACAGCCGTCCCAGCAGCGTGACTGACCTATGAGGCTGAGTCAACCTTGCTGACAAGCCAAGCAGACAGACTGATTCCAGGAAGAGCAAAACTTCACTTGTACAAAGTCGAGGCACAAGGACTGGCCCCACTTGAAGGGCTGAGCAGCGATGGGTGGGGGAACGTCAACGTAAGACATTCCTTAGCAATTAGGTTTGGGAATAGAAGGGGGCTGAGTTCAATGAGTTTCAGTTACTCAGTTTGAGGGAATTCTTTTTTCATGTATATAATTTGATCAGTCTAACAGGAAATAAGCAAGGGGAATGCCTGAAGGAAACTGAAGTTCTTTAGATATTTGGAAGAGATTCAGAAATGAAATCAGAACACCTCAGATCCCTCTGTTACAGAAAACTGGTGGGAATTCAGCTGCCAAGAGTTACCACCCCAGTGTTACTAAACTTAACGAGGGAATTTCCCTTAACTTATGACAAGAAGGAAGCAAAAAGTTGAGAGTTGTCAAGTGTAATCCCACGCTTCAAAAGCCACCGTGGTCCAGAAGGCCTCAGCACACACCTCCCCAAAGGCAGACCTTTCACAACTGTTATATTAAGTAACCTCACACCCAAAATTAGTAAGCCCTGAAGAGTTCCTGGTGATCTCCTCCCCTGGCTAATCTACAGCAGGCAGGAACACAAAGTTAAATAGGATTTGAAAGAAAAGCTTTTCTGACTGTAGTGGTGCCTTCTCTCTACCTCTGTCACCAATCAGCGAGGACTGGAACAGAGTTCTTGGGTCTGCCTGGGTACGACTTATTCACAGGCTTCAATCAGTGCATGGGTGTTGAAGCCAACCTAAGAATTCCTACAGAGGAAACCTCTCAAGGCAATCTTCAAAGTAACAATTCCCTGGTACAGAGGGATGGAAAGTTCAACTTTCCCTTTCCATCACACATATGTATGACTCAAACACAGGAGGAGATGGCAGGAAGCTCTTGTGCTCACAGTGACAGGAACGTAGAGGAGATACATTGCTCCAGTGGCATGAATCACCGAAACAGCCTGCTGCCACAGAAAACTCATGATGGATCTGAAGGTGGACTCAGAGCTCAGGTTAAACATCCCGGGTTTCTGCATGTTTTATCCACCCAAATCAGTGCACATCATCGCAGGAAATTGTGATACATTTCACAAATGTGGAAAAACCCTTGAGATATCCTCATTCCTGCTACAGGCAAGAGCACTCAGCAACTCTGCACGAGAAGCATTACACAGGGAAAAAGAGCAGTGCTGCACTGACAACAGGTTACCAGCTGTCCTTTGGCAGAACTTGGACAAGAAGCAAAGCAAAAGATACTCACCCCAGCAGCAGGTCATCGGGCACTGAAACAAAAAGGGTGATTTTGTTAGTGTGAGCCATTGCAAGAAACTTCATCCCAGGGAAGAGAGGCTCTCCCTGATCTGCTCCAGGGGCCTCACCGAGTGCAGCCCTTCCAGCCCTGAGCTTCCCACATCCTCCTCTGAGACCAGACCCACAGCAGCACTGCCTCTTCAAAGCACGTGTAATAAACCCCACATCTCTCTCTGCCACTTTAAGAAGCTGGTTAAAAATACGTACATTGTTTTCCCTGAAGCTCTCTTGGCATCAGCCAAGAACTCTGTGGCATTCTAACTTCAAGTGTGTTGTTCTTTTCCCAGCATGGTCTTTGAGGGCCCTGCTAGTTTATAGCTCTTATTACAGTGCACAGAAACATAACATTCTCATGCATTGGAACTTCTTGTTAAGATGGAAAAAAAAAAAAAAATCACACTTAGGAAAAGCAGTCTGTATAATCAATGGATATCAAGATGTTACAATCACAATATAAACAAGAGAGCTAGGCAAAGTAGACTATGACAACATGAGAGAATAAATGGAAGGCTTACCCTTACGCTGGGCTCACCACAAAACACCAGAAGGAGGGATCTCCAGATGAGACCCTTCCCCACTGGCAGCCAGCTCTTCAATAGGTCTAGGAGGGGTGCAGCCAGGCTCCACCCCTTCCTGCAGCACAGGTGAATTGCCTTCAGCTGTGCTCCTCTGGCTCATGGCTCACCTCAGGTGATCCATCAGAAGTTCAGGCTGTGACTCAGCAGTTCCCATACAGTCTCTTTTAGCTAGCAGCTTACACTGATCAGCCAATCTGCTATTTCTGTTATCACCAGCAGGACACAGTGTACATCTCAGTACTCTGCTACAAGACTATCGGTCTCCTAACTTTTAAAGCCCTTTCTTCCAACAATTCAAAATATTTTCTCTGACTTCATGCTGTTGGTTTGACTTTTCCAACTTTCTCCTGATTTTATTCTCCAAAGAGGCTGACCAGCTTCCTCCCGCGGTCACATCCCAGCACACAGCTTTGGGTGCTGTAGGGAAAAGTGGACTTTGAAAGGAACTCTGACTTTTTCCTTGTTTACAGAGGGATTGATAAACTTCTTTAAAAAGTCACATGCACATTTTGGATCTCCTCTAACCTGACAAGAGCCACACAAGTACAACAAAAAGCAGTTGAGGTGGCCACCCTGTTTTGATATGAAGTCTTTGTTCCTTCTGTACTCCAATGCAGCACTCAGCCAGACTTCCCTGATCATTTATTTGGTCAGTTTCAGCACAGCTAAAAGCACTCCTTGCATAGACACTTTCCTTAGGACTTTTTTAGTGAATAAGACTAATATTCTTTCAGTACAGACCGCAGAATTGTGTCAGTAATCCAGAATGCAAGGAAGGGAACAGTTCTGAACTGGCTGCTGGAACAGACCAAGGTTGGCTTGTGCCTTCTTCCTTTAAGCAATAGGAAAGAAGCTCTTTGCCACACGACGGCCGACGCTGTACCCTCTGCTGGTCACTGATGAAACACAATCAAGTTTAGGAAGATTTCCCTTTCAACTCTGATTTTGAGTCCACAAAAAGGAGCAACGTGTAGGCATGACAAAAAGCCCCACAGAAGCATGGAAACGGTCATCCCTCACACACAACCACCCGCACTGCCAGCTCTGGGCAGGCAGAATTTCCCTAAGTGCCGTGTTGGAAAGCATCCAACCGGGTGTTATTTTTTTTAAAGGGGTGCTGCTCCTCGTTATCTCTACTTCAGAGCCCTTTGTGTTGATTCCAGGCAGGGACGCAAAGGCTGGGAACAGCCCAAGTAACAGCGAGGGCCACGGCTGTGTGACTGCGTGCAAAGGACGCAGATGAGGGCAGGGCACCGACGCTGCTACGGAGGCTGTGCCAGCACCCGGGCAGCAGGGACGGCTCTGCTGCTCCTTACGTACCGTGGGAGGTCTCCCGAAAAGCCTTCCTGATCTCCTTCAGAAGCTCTTCTGCCACCGCCGGCAAGGTGCCGTCCATCCCACAGCGCTGCCCAGCGGACTGGGGGCGAGACAGAGGAGATCAGGAGGCGGTGGGAAGCCATTAAGGTCATTTTGTCAGGGCAGCGCTTCGTCCCAGCCCGACACGAGGCCAAGGAAAAGGCATTCGGCCGAACCCGAGCTGCGCTCCGGGCGCTTCTCGGCACCAAGGGCTTCGCGAGGCGCGGGGTCTTTCAGGCGGGCCTTTCGGACGCCGCATGCATAAACGCACCGCGGGGGGAGGGCGGAGGGGGCAGGAAGAGACCCAGGCCCGGGGCGGCCCCGAGGAGCCCGGGGGTCTCTGGGGAGCGCCGGCAGCTGCCAGATCCCGGCAGCGGGAACCGAGCCGGAGCCATTCGAGGTCAGGGCCTACCTGCGGCAGCGTTGCCATGGCAACGGAGCGCGCCGCTCCGGTGACGCGAGGACTCCCGTCACGTGACGAGGGCGAGCTCTTAAAGGGCCCGCGCCCAGGGAAGATGCTGGCGGCGGCGCTGCCGCGGGCTCTGTGCCGCTCGGCCTGGCGCTGCCCTGCGGGGCTCGCGCGACCCCGGCCCGCCTGGCACGGCAGGGCCCGGCAGGAGCGGGGCGGCAATGGTGGCAGCGCGGGGTTCGCCAGGTGGCGGTGGCCTCGGCCGGGCGGGGCTGCGCTGGCCTTCCTTGGAGGTGAGGCGCGGCGGGCCGCGGGCGGGCTGGGCCGGACCGGGCCAGGCGGCGGTCACCTCCGGCCCGCAGCTTTCTCCCTCTTTCCCAGGGACGACGGCGAGGAGGACGGCGAGGACGCCATTATCCTCCTACTGAAGAAGGCCAAGGTGAGGCTCTGAGCGCGGCGGAAATGGCGGCCGTGCGGTGACAGCTTTCTCCCGCCGGGTGGGCACGGAGCCCCGCAGGGGAGGGCCGGGTAAAGGGGTTCCGCCGCTCCGTGCCGCTCTCTGCCCGCAGCTCAGCTCCATGAAGGGCGAACTGGATGAGGCCGATCGACTGCTGCATCGAGCGCTGCGCCTGGCGCAGCAGGCCGACAACAGGAAGGCCATCATCTACACGTACAGCACGGTAACCAGCCGGGGCGGCGAGCCGTGGGAGCCCGGAACCGCTGCGGAGCTCCAGCGCTGTCTGTCTTTTCCAGATGGCAAACGTGGCCTTCATGCAGGGACAGCTGGACAACGTGAGTGGGTCTGGCGGCCGCTGGTTTTCCTGCCGGATGGGCTGACAGCTGAGAGCTGGGATCTGTAAAGCAGAACATTCAGCCTGCGGTCTCGCGGTGCTGCTGAAAACAAAGCTTTCCCAGCTGGGCGTTGGGCTCCAACATCCAAGGGAAGGATTCTTTCTTACTATTGAACGCCACAATCCTCGGCCCGAGGAGAACCTAGGAAAGCAGTGCAGAGCCCCAGCTGGGATAAGTTTGTGGGCACCATGGGGGTCCTGACCAGCGGGCGGTCGCACCGGACTCTGGTTGGCCTTTGACTTCTCACCACTCTTGATAATAGTTGTGGCAATGTGAATGCCAGAGTTTGAGGCAGATTCCTCCTAGCAGTCTTCTGTTGTAGGGATGTGTTGTCCTCACCCTCCAGTGATTCTTCAACATTCTCATTTCAGGCAGAAAAGCTCTACAAAGCAACGATGAGCTACTTGCTTGCAGGAGACATGAAGGAGGTGGGTTCTTTTGGTGAAGGCTTTTCACTGGGAGCATGAAGTGCTGTGCTCAATTCTTTGGTCTGTTTGGTGCGATGCTCTGCCTCTACTGGTACCTGGCAGCAGTAGCTGTGAGCCTGCCAGCTTTTCAGGAATGTCCTTTAATGGAAAGCTGCTCTGGAAACAGGATGGGCACATTGAAGGACTTAAGTTTGTTCTCTGGCAAAGTAATGGTTCTCCTGGGAAGGTGCAGGAGGAGTAACAGTTGCGTTGTGTGTCCTGGCAGGATGACAATGCAATCCTTGAGATGTCCCTCAAGCTGGCCAGTATCTATGCTGCTCAGAAACAGTGAGTTCTCTGCTAAAGGCATATTTTGCTTTAATCTCAGCTTCACAGTGGTAATGGTGGCCAAGCAGAGGTTTGTTCCTCTAAGAACAGAGTGCCTAAGGAAGCTTTGATATGATAAGATACCATCATATGAAAGTTCTGACAGATTTGCCTGCTCACCATCGTGCAGCAGCGATTGCTGTAACAACCCGCCCAGTTTAGGGCAGAAGCAGCCATAGAGGCCACAGTGCTCTAGCCTTAAATCCCCACCTCGTAACACGTGCTTTTGAATGTAGTTGGTGTTTGGTGATTTGTAGTTTCTTTTTTTCACAAAACAGAGAGCACTGGGGGGGGCAGCCTCTGTGGGCTTTTTTTTTTTTTTAATGGGGCTCCTTCCTCCCTCTTGGGTCCCTTTGCACATGGGTCAGAAGGGTGCACACCATAATCCAGGAGCATTGAAGGCAAGAATGGAGGGGTAAAGTCTTATAGGATAAGGAAAGCATTCGCATCCATCCCTCTAGGGATGGAAGAAGCCTTGCACTGCTGAGCTGCTGTACATTGCAGGCACAAATTAGCCCTGGCTGGCTATGAGTTCTGCATCCTGACCTTAGAGGAGAAGATTGCCAAGCAAAAGGACTTGCCTGAGGATGTCTTGCCAGGTGAGAGTGCCTCAACTGCCAAAGGCTTCTTTCGTTATCTTTTCCCTGTTCCTCTGTCCTTGCCTAAGCACCATCTTCATGCCGGTCCATTGTCTTCATGCTGCTTGGTTTTCCAGCTCTCATAGGAGGAGGTGAACTCGTGCTTCATGTTGCAGTGTTCACTTCCACTTCCTCTCTATTTGCAGCTGAAGAAAAAGCCAACACTCGTCTCTTGCTGGGGATGAGCCTGGACTCCTACGCTCGCTATCTGCTAGACATTAACCAGCTCTCAGTGGCCCAAAAAATGTACGAGAAGGCTCTGCAGATATCAAGTGAAGTTCAGGGAGAGACTCATCCACAGGTAATGTGTAGAATGGGAGTCAGACTAGTAAGGAAGGAAAGGCACAACGGCTGTGAGGGATTGAATGGGGGAGGGCAGTAGCCTTAAAAGCAGCTTTGCTGGCAGTGAATATAGACAGCACTGTTCTGCTGGTAACAGGGAGCATGTGTCACATTAATATACAGGTACTTCCTTACCAAAAGCTTCTCTGGGAAGCACTTTTATTAGCGTAACATATGAATGGGGGGCTGCTGTAGGCTCAAAGTTCTACACAATTTTTGCTCTGAGGATTCCTTTCCTGTCCTGCTGCAGACTGTGGTCCTCATGAATGACTTAGCAACTGTGCTGGATGCTCAAGGGCACTATGATGAGGCATACTCTCATGTGAAGAGGGCAGCTGAGCTGGCAAAGGAGACACAACACCCTGAGGAGCACATGGTGCTGAATAACCTGGCAGCAATTCTGATGCACAAAAGTAAGTGAATGAATGTCCAGTGTCTGTCACTTTTGTGCATTCCTGTTTTTAGTTTAATTCGTGGGCCTGCTGACTTGGGGTAGGCAATTTGTGTTGCATTCAAACCAGAGTCAGCTGCTGGAAGGTCTGGTCCAAGGTGAACCAGAATGTCACCCACAGGGACCTCGTTTGCCTTGTCCTGTACACAGCAGCTGTTCCAAAAAGGACAGAAGGCGTTTGTGATTTGTTTCAGAGACCTTCCTTGATGCTGAAGCAGCACCTTGACACGTCATTATAGTTGCCATCTGGCTTCCCCAGTGGTGGCAGATACTGAATGTTTTCCAAATCACCCCAGTTCTAGAAGTGTTCCAGGTGCTCCTTTACTTGCTCTCTGCATGTGGGGGATGTGGCTGGTTAGAGCCACTTTATTTCTCTTTTCACAGAAGACTTTCTGCAAGCAAAACAAGTGTATAAAGCAGCTCTGAAACAGGCAGAACAGAAGGGAGATGCTGATTCTGTCCGGCACATCCAGGAAGAATTAGCTGAACTGGCCAAGAGGAGAAAAGGCTCTCAGTGAGTTTGGCCAAAGAGTCCAACAGCAGCAATGGTGGGTGAATACAGGCAGCCTGGGACTAGTTTGGTACAATTCTCCAGAGGAGCAGCAACTGGGAACTTAAGGAGAGCTTAATAAGAAGGGCTGTTATTGCCTAACTGTTAAGCCCAAAATAAAGTTCTGAAATCTTAATAGTATTTGAATTTGTGGTGTAATCTATGGGTATAATAATGTAATATACAGGATCTTTGTGCTAGTGAGTGCAGTTTGCCAGCAGACTGCAAGTCCAGCCTGTTACTGATACCTGCAGTTAGTAGAGGAGCAGCCATTTGCTATTCCTGACTTTTCACAGTATTCAGTTTCAAAACATGTCTGTCCTAAAGCCATGTTGTGAAAAACAGAACAGCCTGCCATGAGGCAGCACCGACTTAAATTTCAGACTAAGGAAGGAGGATCCAACCTAAGACAGGAATTCTCACTCTTTCCATGCCAGCCAGCACAGCAGGGTGCACCTATCAGTGCTGCAGTTCACTATGTATGAACTGCAGTAGAATGCTTTCCATCATGTACCCACATCAGGACAGAGCTGCAGCCTCCTCATGTTATTTTCAGACAGGTTGCCTGAAGATCAAGTGTGTATCTTCAGAACATTTAGCGTGCAAAGATAGAGCCTGCCTTCTCCAAAGAGTAAAAACGTTACTAAACCAGAGCTGCTATCAGAAATAAAAGCCTCTGACTACCTCACTCTAGCAGCCAGAGCACACTAAATGCCAGTTCTTCCTGCGCCAGGACACAGTCTGGTGCTACAATGCTGAGGTTTCCTACTGGGAAGGATGATATGTGACAAGCATCAGGCTTATCAATTATCACTTACATAGGGATTCAGTGTGAACAGCCTGCTTAAACAGCAGCAGTTTTCACTTTTTCCCTATAGGGAGGCCTACTATGAAAGACAAAATTAAGAAGTTGCCAAACTGTTGTTTATCTGGGCGTGCAGAACTACAGGCAGCTGTCACTGATCATCATTTTAACTGCTCAACTGCAGGGTCTTCAGATAAGAATGTAAGTCCTGGTTTTAATTGCATCATTATTAATTTACTTACAGCAGCATTAGCAGTGGCTCCAGCTCTTTGTGAACGTGAGCTAAGAGGCAGCACGTGAGCAGGTGTTGCTGAAGCTAGGAACTCTCAGTCACACATACAGCGTTGCTGTCAGCGTGCTAGGAAACAAGAGATAGGGATGTTATAGGCACACTTGTACCAACAAAGAGGCTCTAACACATTAGAGCCAATTTTTCTTTATTATTTAGATTTTGTTTTTAGATACCAGCAGTGTCAGCTGGGAACCCTGCAGCAGCCCCTGAGGGAAATGCTTTGCCAGTCCTCATGAGCACAACTTGATGCTGCAAATCAAGAGGGAGACACAGGAGAATCAAACTGAGAACTGATCCCCTTTATTGATTGGTCTGAATCCAGAAGTCGCTGCCTACTGGAGAGACACTGCGTGGGGAAAAAACCCCGGAGATACGATGCAAGGGTTTTTCAAGTCTTCAATGATTTCGTATCAGAATCATGAGGTTGAGATGACAGCATTGCAAAAGCGCTGGCCAGAAATGAGTTAAAAATTTGTAGCAGACCACAGTTTGTGAACGGGATTTATGAACACCTTCCTGTGTGAAACAGGAGATGTAATTCCATACGTGAAGATCACTGGAATTATGTTTAACTCTAACTTAGGCTCTGGAGAGGTCTTCGCACTGGAGAGGTTAGAACTTGGATAACAAACAAAAGCAGCAGCAGCAGCTTATGTGCAAACACCACTCACTGCACCTCAGAACTTTCCTGCTTTGGGTATCTTGCTGTTGCAGCACAAAGATTAGTGAGGAGCACGCTATACGTAGTGTACAGTTAGCAGCAAAGACTTCTGCCTGTCTGTGCCTCTTCTGTGTTGCATTTGTTATACTAAGAAAGTGAAAACAACTGAACTTTAGAATGCAACTCAACTCTCTGTTCCAATTTAAAAGCTCCAAACCAGGCAGATGTACCTGTTGGAGAGCACTTTGCTGGGGAACAAAAAAGGTGTAAAACCAGGATGGAGAAATCAGTGCTTTAAGGCAGCAGGGGAGCGGGGACTGCCAGCTGCTCCACTCTGATACAGTGTTTAAATTAAAAAAAGTAGCAAAGCAATTCTGTATTTACAATGCACAGTCAAGTTTTCAAATGAGTTCCCTTCTGATTTCTCTTTCCTACACCTATGGCAAAAAGGCTTTCCTCTATAAAGCAATTTGCTTAAGTAGATTTGCTATGGATAGCAATTCTTTACTGGTTCTTAACTGGGCCCTTAAGCTGTATCTTATGGAAAACCTGCACACAGGCTTCAGGTTACACAGCTACATTACACCTTCCATAAAATGTATTGCAAATGCAGGGTTAAGTTTAAAATGTTTTGGCTGGAAAGTAACTTCTAAGCAAAGACTGGTCTATGAGGTGCAAAAGCAGTTTGGATGGCCTGGCAGGCTCCAACTCCCCACCTCCGTGCTATCTAAAAATCAGTTCTACCCCAGAGATTCAAGTTCATTTTCCTGAAGTCAGTGCAGCAAAGCTTAAGATGCTCCTGAAGATGGAAGCCAGGAGACTCCATAACAACAGACCCAGGTGTGCACAGGAGCTACGAGCAGAGCACAGCAGGCAGTGATAGATGAGTAACGACTCTCCCAGTACCACATACAATTAAAAATGAAAATAAATCCACCCTGATACGTATTGCACACCTCAGGAGTTCAGCCAGGCATTTGTAAGGACTTCCACCTTTAAGTTTTCTTACAAAGTCAGGAACTGGGATGTGAACACAGGCTTCAAAATTATTGTTACATCAAGATTGTAGAATCAGTCTGAAGGAAGGTAAAAATCACAGTACCTATTTCAAACTGCTGTAACAGAAGTCAAGTAGCTGACTCGTGTTGCTCAATTATTCTATAAAAGCATTCTGTTTTTATTTCAACTTGGGATGTAGAGTTTTTCCTTCTTGAAGGACTTATCATCAATCCACCCAGAGCCTCTGTCCAGGAAAACCATTTGCTGTGGTTAAACACGACGGTAAGGTTTAGTAGCCTATTTCAACTGCATACAATGCAGAAACACAGAACACTACGGTTTGCTTTGGGGGCACAGTTGAAATTCCCAGTGTGCAGAACAGTGAGGTACAGCCTCCAGAAGCTGCTCTTTTTTTTTTTATCCTTTTTAAAATTAACCATAACATACCCATGCAATAATATTTCTGCAGTGTTGCTAAATGAAATCAACTGCACCAAAAATGTACAATGTGGCAGAATTCAAAATTCAAAGAAATATCTCATCTTATTCCAGCGAGCTGCTATGTTCATGTACACAGTTCAGTACGGGGTCAGTCTTAAAAAAAAATAATAAATCAACATCTTCACAAGAGCTTGAACACCACTGAGAAAGTGTGGCTGGGGAAGAAAATATGAAAGCACAATGCCTGCAAGAAGTGGCACAGCATTAAACGGGCAACGATGCTGGGCTGGCTGGGAGGTTTGGTGTGGTTAGGGGAGGCTGGGAGGGAGGCCACGGTTATGAGGAGTAACTCTACATTGAGAAAATGCTTTAAAAAAAAATTACAAAATGACCCCCAAAGTTTAGGCAATGATTTGAACATAAGTACACCAGATACTATAGCAAGGGAAAAAACACTGCAAAAAGTACTCTCTATTTACAGAAGAATGATTTAAAGACATTATGGTTTTCTTTACAAATAGATGTAGAACAGGAATAGTCCACATTTTTAAAAACTTTTTACATATTTATCTTTAGTAAGTCAACCTTCTTGATCACAATCCTCCGACACACAGCCGTGCTGAAGGCATTTAACAGACTCTCCATTAATTCTTCATTGTGTGGCCCTCGCTCTCTTGGAAAGTCTCTCTGGGCACAAGTCAAAAATAAAATCTTTTGTTTTGACCCGCAAATTAAAAAAAACAAAACAAAAATATCTGCATAGTTCAGTCATCACTGTCAGACAGAGTCTCATATTGTGCTGAAAGCAGTGGTGCTGGCTCTCGCTCCCAGATCCTGTTCTGTTGGTGAGTGGTTGCTTGGCTCATGGACGGCGGGGCGCACGCGATGGAGGTCGGCGGCGTACTGCTGAGCATCCGCATCGTCAGCGGGTTGTAAGGAAACTGCGTGGAACCTGGATGAGAGAGCATCTGCAAGTCAAACACGTGCCGTTCTGAGGAGTTATCAGAGCTCACATTCAGACAGCATGGCTTTGGTCGCGACGACTATCAGAAAAAAATCAGTTTCAGACAACGCTTGCAATCTTTGGATGAACACACAGCAGAGCTCTGTGTCTGCGTCGGACTGCTCCACAATTAGCAGTGGGTTATCTAGTGCATCAAGCTGACAGAAAAGCTGCATGTCTCACCTGTTGATGAAGGCCGATCTTCCCAGGCCCACACCGGAGTCTGTCTGTGGTAGTCCCCTTCCGAATGCACAGATGAGACAGAAGAAGGTCTTTCGGTTCCCAGATACCCCTGTCCAGGAATCGGAGACTTGGACTTCCTACTGTTTGATTTCCCAATTAACTTCTGCTTGCTGACTCCCCCTCCTGGAAATAGAAGGGACACGTTTTCCAAAAAGCATCACGCTGCATTTTAGCCTCTATATGGGTTCCTATAAATGATCGCTTAGCACCACACACGAGCTGATGCCTTTTGGAATGCTGACTTACTACAACTAGAAGAGCAGCTGATACAGTCACTAATAACACTGTTGCTAGAAATGTTTTCTGTTTGTTTTTTTTTTTCAAATCATAAAATATGTGGGAGCTGAACTGCCTCACCTGAATTGGGTGATGGATTGGCTTCTTCCCTGCGTGTCTCATTGCTTGCTGATCCCACAGCACTGGAATTGCCAGGTGCTACTGCAATGGATTGTGACATTACAACTCCATGATCCTCGCTCTTGTCATCAAAGTTTCCCATCAATGCTTTTCTAATAATGTCTTCTAGACCCAGATTACTGGCAGGATCTGCAAAGGAATGACCCCTAGAACTGACTGCACCTGGGAGATAAAAAACATACATGGAAAGGTGGGAGGGGAGGCAAAAAATATATCTCAGAAATTACAAAGGGATGTGGAAGATGATTTTAGAGAGAGGCAGAAAGTTAGGAGAAAAAAAAGATTTTAAAATGCAAAACAATTTGCTCCAAAGCAGCTCACAATGGCAGGAAATTCTGTGTGCCAGCAAACACCAAATATCCACAATAGAGTACATTACACATTTAAAAAATGCAAAAACAACAAAGCAAAGGAAGTTGACCATGCTGATTGTAAAAGCATATTAAGTCAAAATCTGCAACTACTCATCAGTTGTGAGAGAAGAGACAAGAAAAATACTCCTCACATTAATGATCCATGCTAATTCATCTTATGAAGTATGATTTGTGGCAATTTTTATTCCAAAAGCCTGTTTTTCCATCCAGTTTGATGGAGATCAGTACCTTCTCCACTTGAAAGGCAGAATCATTGTATGAGGAGAGGAGGCCGCTGGCCAAAATCACTTACAGGCAATCTGCAGTTCAGCTCAGATTTACCAGTTCTTATCTCCCATATTTCTATTCAGTTCTCTTTCACTGATTGCTTTACCATCACAGTGTATGGGTTATCTTTAATATTTTTGTGACAGGAAGTTGGGAATTTTAATTTATTTTCCAGAGGAAAATAAAACACAAACAAACAAAAAACAACTACGCATTTCACGTATCCTGGTTTATCAACTAAACTACATTTGATACCTAAGGTCAAGTTTTGTTGAACTACACTGTATTGGAATTCTATTTGAGTTAGATGCTAACCAACTTCATGGCTTCCTCTCCGTAAGATTTGCAGACAACACAAAAATAAAACACTAAGTCCCCAGTTTAAATATTTTCTGAAATCTTCAATCATTTTTGCTCCTTCCTATGACAAACTTTTTTTCCATGTGGGATATTACTTCTCAAGTTTTCATCTTCTCACTTACTGCATTCCTCAAAGCACATACATTAAAATATTGCATTAGTTTACCTTCTCTGAAACATAAGTAGGTTTATTTTCTGAAAAACTCACCTGAGGTAGTGACTGCTGGCAAGTTGAATATTTCAGTCCCTGGCTGAGCAGTTGCTGCAATTGAAATACAACATTTAAATGAATTTTCCAGTATATATTGATGTTCATTCACGTTACTTGAAACATATTGATGTTGGAACCTCTGTGGACAGCAGTCACACAAATCTCAAGTTGGAAAAATTCAGTGAAAAAGCAAGAGCTGCATTACCCATGTCAGCGTCGCCTCCACCAGATGAGTTCAGCTTTCGAAATATCTCTTGCTTCTTGGATTTTACCATGGGTGAAGTATTCTCAAGTTTGGTGAAAAATGAAGGCAGGTAGCTCATACTGCCCGGGGAGCGAGAGTCAGTCCTGCCAACAGCAAGTGTCAAAGAAAGAACTTTCTTAACACTGTACATTTACCTTCTTTCCAAAAGCAGTCACAGGCAGAAACTTCCAACATTCATCTGCTTTACGATTACCTCAGGATCTCAGTTCTACACATACCTCTGTTCAGTAGGCTCAGCTCTTTGGGAAAGCAATAGAATATTTTCCTGTTTCTCATGTACAACGGGGACCTGAGGGGGTGAGATTGGCTCATAGGGCTCTGAGGAAACATGACTCCTCTCCGGAGACTTTCCAGGTCTACATTTAGAATTCAGAGATGGATAAGTAATCTTAATGCATGAAGTATAGCAGTTAACACACACAATTGCATTCTGACTGTTCAATAACTATTTCTGTTTAGTTATACGCATTACACGCGTCAGTACATTTGATCACAAAAATATCAGAATAATTATAGAGAATTCAGTGTCATAAATTCTAAGTGATTAAACGTCTTCACTTCTCTAAAGACTGGAAATCAAGCATTGGTAGGGAGGGGAACACATTTATAAGTGATATTATGGAGCCAAACAATCATCAAAAACATGGCAAGACCAAAGGTTACCTCTATTTCTGATATCCTGATCTACACAAGGATTTCCACCCAAGCTTTTGTAATTATCATATTTGAGAACTAAACTTGCAGTTAAACCAAATAAATGCATTACCTTCCCCGGGACTTGTCAGGCAGATTTTCAGGTGACACTCTGGCTCCTGGCCTCTGATGGTGGACTGGTTGTGACTGTGACTCGGGGCTGTAGCGATTTGATGTTTTTGCTCGGGTAGAAACAGGCGCTGGAGCTGGGGTAGAGTTCTGGAATGTAGTGGTGGGAGGCTGCAAAGAGGCCTGAGAAGCTGCCTGGTTTCGAGCAAAGTCTTGTGTAATAATTTGCTGATTGTGTCCAAAAACAAACAGAGAGAGAATTTGGTCAGACATTGGTAACAGAGTAATATTAAAAAAGTCTGTGAACGGGACAAGCACGAGACAAACTGCAGCACATGAAACAACTGCAAGATCAAACACATTAATGCATAGTGCTCCCTATAGCAATTCTACAATTACTAGTTCTTATTAATGTTCCAAAATGTATGTTTACATAATTGAAATATAACTTTTCGTATCTGCAAATAAACCTACACAGATGTGATCAGCAAGGGTGATAAGTCGGTGCGTCCTGGGCACGTGTGCCATCCCTTCAGCCTGGGAGGAAGGAGGTGGAGGTTGCTGGGGTGAAGGAGGAGGTTCCTGTTGTGCCCTGTAACGGTGAATCGTCCCTTCATACTGCCTGTTTGGGTCACCTAGTTGAACAAAAGGGCAGTCATAAAGGTCAGTATTACTGAAGTTTTAAGGTTTTAAAGCTCTTAAAGATTCTTGAGTTGCAAACTGATGTATCTTAACTATGTTTTGAGTTCACGATAAACACTAGGAAGATAATTGCCAGCGTGTTTGCATAACTTACCCTCTGCTTGGCTTGGTTTAGGTGTCTCTTGTTGGTAGGGCTGTATCTTTTCTTGAGTTGGTATAGGTGAATTTGCAGGACTGATCACCTCAATGGCATCTCCAGGAGCTTCATACCGGTGAGAAGATACTGATTATCAAGCAGAGGTTATGGAATAAGGTGTAAATATTACAGACTTCTGCTGTCTATATTTTAGCAACACTAGTGCTTCCACCAAAATGACACCAGTACAATGGAAGTCAAAATACTGCCTTCTTTTTCTAATAAGAACTGCAGTGAAACAAATTTCTACAGAAGAACATTCTAACATAAACTCAGTTATTTTACATCTCCTGACTTCTGATAAGGTTACTTCTAATACCCTGCACTCCATGATGCAGCATGGAATCCAAAGAAAGCCATGAGCTACAGTTTTGCAAGAATCCTCAGTCACTACACACAAAAACTGTATTTACCTATCAAGCACATGATTTGTGCAAAGCCAAATATTTTATCATTAAATGTCAGAATCACTTCACATCTTATTATCTCCCTACAAGGCTAAGACAGTAAAGAAGTAGATAGTTACTAAGATACGTACAACTACTGGAAGAATCTGAACTTTGAGAGCCCCTATCTCGTGCATCCTTGTCTGAAGCAATCTGTCGAGTGATGATCACATCTATGAAGTTAGCAGCAGTAATTGTGGTCTTTCCTCGAGTTCTCAGCTCTTCCTCGTACCTGGATTTAGGAGGAGGTCCTTTTTCTTTACCAGCCTCTGAATAGACTACTGTTGAAGACTGTCCCTGGGATTTGCCACCAGAAAAATTTGCAGATGTATAGGGGCACTGGACAGCCCTCTTTTCTACCTCCAGTGTTTTCTGCTCTATCTGCTGCTGCTCAGTAACCACAGCTGATCTGCGTCCCACATTCTCTTCTATCCTGGTTCCTTCGTGCTTGGTATCTTTTGCTTTGGCAACTTCCATCTGAGGAGCAGAGGCTGCAGCATCTACTAGTGCAGCAAGGGCATCAGCAGCTGTATTGTAGCGGGAAGCAGGTAAACCTTGAGTTATGGAGGGAGCTCCAGGAGTGAGCTGCCTGTTGGCAAACATTGAATATTCCAAATTATATCACACTGAATATTCTGAACTATGTCACACATAAAAAAGAGTCATTTCACGAGGGAAACAAAGTAAAGCTTTAGTGACACTCATCTCTATCTAAACTGAACTGACTGAAAATGCAATAAATTCAGGAGCCATCTGACAGCAGTACATCCTAGTTGCTTAGAATCTTCCTCAGACTAAATTAAACTTTAATAGGCTCAAATATTAGAAAAGATATCCCTGGAACAGCAACTTAAGAAACATACATGATACGAAGCTGAGCAGCAGGATCCAAAGGTGTGATTACGCTCGTCCCATTGGTTCCTTGAAAAATACTAGGCCTTTGCTGCAGTATGTTTTCCTGGCTTCTAACTGAAGGGGATGGGGACCGAACATATCCATGACTGCCAGGTCTGCCAGGCTGCTCTGTTCCTGCAGGACATACAGCAGAGAGGGAAAAACAATAAGTACTAATAACTCTTATAACAATACAGAACTACATATCAGTGTTTTCTCCTCCACATTCTTTCCCAACTGTCACCACTACTGTAGATATAACAAACTGAGGTTTGTTATTAAGAGTTTAAATAGTAGTGTTCTGAATGTAAGTAGCAAAGCATGGCTGAGATTCACACCTTTCCCTGGGTACTTCATCATTATGACAGAAAGGTGAAGAAGCCTGGTACTTGCTGAAGTTTCAACCAGAACTGTAAAGTGTTAGGAATCACCATTCAGTTTAAAGCCAAACGGTACCAAGCAATTGTGTTGTTAAGAAGCTGCATTTTGTTTCCAGTCCACAAGACAACTGATCCAAATGCAGCAACGCACACTCACCTGGTCGAAGATAAAGCTCAGCAGGGACTGAAGTTATTCTCTCCCTTTCTCGCTCCCGTTCTCTTTCCCGCTCCCGTTCTCGTTCCCTCTCCCTTTCCCGCTCCTTCTCCCTCTCTCTTTCCCGTTCCCTTTCAGCATTTGCAGCTGCAGAAGCTGCCAGGTGTGTAGGGTGTCCTGAAACATCCACAAGACAAGAAGTAGCAAAAACAAATACTGACCTTAAGCACAGTTTGATGCTATCCGATACATTCTGCCACCTACTTGCAACAAGTTTCCCAAATCCATTTTCTTTCCAGTCAAGTCTATCCACTTACTTAGGAAAGCAAAAGCTTAGCACACAGCCAGTGGAAAGTTGAACAGCTTTTTACTAAAGGGTTTTCTCTACAGTTAAAACTAGACAGATTAGATACCCAAGTTCTACCCTTTAACACACCATTGGATGTTAGTGAACATGCAGTCAATTTTTAACGGCTTATACCTGGTGACAGAGAGGCAGGATTGTAAGGCCTAGGGGGGAATGTAAGCTGAGTACCAGGGATGTAAGTGATTCTCTCCATGGGTGGTGTGCTCGTTCCTCCAGGATGAGGCACTAAGATAGTGGGAGCCATATTGTTCAGGTCAATAATTCCTGTCAGGAGATGACAAGTGTAAGAAGGACTTTTCAAGGACAGACCAAAGGCCCACACGTTAAATATGCTGTTCATTGATAACACCCTTTTCCAGACTTCTTACATTCAACAAATAAAATGAAACATCGAAATGCACAGGACACACTCCAGTATAACTTCTACTATGAAAAACACTTCTCCTTTCTTTTCCAGCCAATTAAATCACTGCAAGAGCTGGTATCTCATCCCCAAGATAGTCAGCCCTACTGGACTAACTCCTTCACATTTCTTATCTTCCATTCAACGAATAACTTCCCAAATTGATTTAAATGACAGGCAGATTACCACATTCAGTAACCAAGCTCATGGCTCAGCCATTTCCTGTTATATCTCTGACTCCTGAGAATGCCATGTAACCCCAGGGATTCGTACCTATTTGTTCATTATTTTAGCCTAATATTGCACTTTTCATTTCAGTGTGAAACTCCTCTTCGAAACTATGTTCCATATGAAAGTCTTCACAGAAATCTGTGCCTCTAAGAAATGTAAATCCCTCCACAGTGAACAGAGCTCTGATCATTTATATCAACCCCTTCTGCCAAGCCACACTGCTTATCCAAAATATGCTTTAAATAACACCAGACCAAACCCCATAGGCATACCTCTTGCTCCTGCATACGGCAGAGCTAGAGTTTGCTCTCTGGGAGATAATCCTCTGGTTACATCAGGACGTAAATTGACTTGCATTTGCTGTGAGGTAATGTAGTCATTTAGGATTGTCTGTCGTGTATTCTCCATTGCGTAAAGCTGGTACTGACTTGGGTAGCCTGGGGTGGGTGAGAGCTGCCTTTGGAACAGGTAAGCAGCAGCAGCTGAGGGTGAGGGAGGAAAAAGAAGATTTAGTGCTCAAGATACAGAATCAAAGTTTCAGATGTTTATATAGTTTCAATGAGAAGTGCTATCAATTCTCACAATGAATCAAAATAGCACTGTAATACTGGTATTTTATTGAATTTAAGTACTGAATGTGGACAGAAAAAGCTAAGCAATCCACATTCTCCTAGAGAAGAGACATGAATAAAATCATAAAAATCATAGTTTTGAAAATGAATGGCTGAAACACCTGAAGAAGGTTACAGCACCCCACAAAGTCAGACTGACAGATTATGTTAAATAGAGGCCTACTGACTTAATATCATCAGAGACAACCTGATAATCTCTCAAGTGAACACAGGAGTTCTGATTATGCTTTCATCCTGTGGCATCTTCCACACCCTTACTGGCACAGTTTTCCTGAAAGCTTTTAATACATTTCACAAATACTTATTTTAAAATACTGTCTGAAGCTTCCAGAAGAAATATTACAGTAAGTTTCCTGGCTAGACATCAAGCCACAGCAGTGTATATATAACCCCTTCTAAATTATATCTGCCCCTCACTAAGAGCTTTATTAAGACATCTTTCCTGTGCCAAGCACACAATATTTCTAAAAGCCAAAACAAAGCCAAAACACAAACAGATTTACCAGGATCCAGAGCCCTGTGAAATGGCATAGCAGGATCTAAGTGAGGAGGGAGGTGACTCCTATAGACTTCAGGAGTAGCCCCTCTGTGATGAGGGTCAAAAGGACTGTGAGCCACTACAGGATCAACCCCTGGGACCGGAGATTTTGCTGGCACGCTCTCTCTCTGTGTGGGAGTAAGTGTGTTTTTCCTTTCATGATTTGCTGACTTTCCAGAAGATATTCCAGCTAATGAAAATCAGGAAAAATCCAAACTCAAAATACATATTTTCAATAGGAGATACAGCTATATGCGTACATGCTGCAATTAATTACAATAAATCATAGGCAGTATTTTATATCACAAAATATCTAGTGAAAGTTTAAGTCCTAAAACTACATTTGTTTGCACTGTGCCACATTATCTTCCTTTTTCAGGAACATCTAATACAGAAGTAGTTTCTGCCCTCAGAACATTATGCTCTGCCAATGCCAATGGAGATTGAACTACTTTTTGACCTCCATGTTATGACACGGCAGATTTTCATTTTCTTATTTCAATTAACAACTCATAGCCTTCTTTAATTCCTTCTAACCAACCTTCAAATCAAGAGGAACCATTAGAGTAAAAATAAAGTAGAACAGGTTACGGGAAAAAAGAAGTTAAAAACACATTCCAAATGAAATTACTCAGTTGTTCTCTTACTGTGGATCAGAATAACATACCCTCACTAACTCTATTCATCATAGGTGAACTCCTGGACATTGGACTCTGATAGTTCACAGGTGTTCTCCGTGCATTGGTATCATCATAAATCCCAGGGCTCAGTTGTGATTTAGGAGTTTCATGAAGAGTTGACCTGAGAACAGAGGGACCAGAGCTGACTACTGACGTGTGACGGGAACGAACTGCATCCCCGGTCTTCACATCTTCGTATTTTCCTCGCTCCACCACCTTCACATTTTCTGGCACCATTTCCAGCTGAGGCATTCCACGGGGCAGCTTGCTTGGTCCAGTGATTAACGATTTTACATTGTGTTTGATGGCAGACTGGCCAGAATTGCTTTCATATTTTATGGGTGTGCCCTGAGAAGGAAAGAAGGATCAGGTGAGGTTATTCTGCCAGTGTTTCTCTCCTGCTAAAAAAATGAAAGAAAAATTAAAAAGTAATCACATGGCTGATATTTGTAGTTCATTGCTGCTGTCACAGCATAGAACATAATTGGATTTTAGCCACTGTTACTAGTCAGTTACATCATACTTGCTAGTAAGTGTGTTCCCTGCAGGTCAAGTGTCAAGATTTCTCTAACACACAGAGGATATTTAAGCCTCATACATCTGTAGCTTTCTTGGAAAAGAAAACAAACAGAACACCTACACATTTGTCCTTACTCAAATACCTGGAACTGATTCACTGCTGACTGTGTAAGCAACCATAAGATTCTATGAGTGCCTTCTGTAATTACCTGAGATATGGAGCCTTCTATGATTGGCCTGGCTGTCTGCACGATTTCGGGAGTCTTGCAACTCTCCTGGCTTAACAGGTCCTGCCTCGGGATCTCGTGGATGGAACGGCCCATTTCTTTGATGGTAGTGACTCCATCATACGGCTTCCCTTTAGTGATGGCTCCTTCGAACGCCCTTATGGGAGGTGACTCTCTCTTAATCTGTTTAGGGTATTTCAAGCCTTCCTCGAAACTTTCAGATGTTGCTCTTGGTGTGCCTTTTATGGAAAGAAAGTCACATCACTGGTATTAATTATCACTACAACTCCTTTTTCATAAGCAGAGTAATTAGCTATTAGAACTCTGCTTTGCTGAGTCTATGATAATGGATTACAAGAGTAAAACTATGTCACAAACATCACAGTGAACAGATTTTCAAGTTACTCAAAGTATCCCGGGTTATTTCAAATGCTGAAATAAAAGCAGTACCATACATCTTCATGTCTGGGGGGAATTATTATTGTTAAACACTGACAATTTGTACTGAAAAAAATCTATTTTCAAAAAATATATATATCAATACTTAATATATTAGTTTTACATATGGTGTACTAGAAAGTGTGTCTAATAAAATAAGCTCTACTCTTAACACAGCTACCATTCTTAATAACAGATTTCTGGGAATGTAATTAATGCCTGCCTTCCAAACTAGCAAAACTTACCTTGCATTATAGAGCCAGACAACACTGTTCTTTCTTTAAGTTCAGCATGTGGGCTACCCCTAGGCAGTGCACGGCATATTAAACCTGAAATTAAAATGAACATAGTTTAAAGAATTAAATAACAAGTGTTCAAAAACACCCTCCTCCTTCTTACATAATTACAGATATTATCTGTAGTGCCCAGAGCTTTGCCTCATTACGCCAGGCCTTGCATCAACATGTCAGAAGACCATCTTGCCCTACGAAGTTCTTTGGTTCAAGTATTATAATGCTATTACACCACTGCAAGTTTTAACGTATTTCAAATCAGAAGGTTATTTTACAGTTCAGCTTAACTCTTGTTCCAAAAGCTTAACACTTTCCTTTATTTTCCAGAAAACAAACCAAGTGCATGAGCAAGTTGAAGGTACCACTGAGTTTTTACACGTGGTTTAGAAACGTCTTATTCATTGTTCAATCTGATGAAAACAAACCAAAGTGCCCTTTAAGGGCTATTCAAAGGTGGGACAAAAATGCATCTTAGGACCAAGATTCCAGAATTCAGGCAAGAAATATTTTCTTGATATTCTGTGTTTTACAAGACAACCATAAAGGTTATATAATGGCCTGTGCTGACCTTTACAATCTTAGTCCGACTGCAGTTTGTTAAATCAAAATAATGCTAGGGATGCCCAGAAACAGAATACAGCAGCTGTGTAAATCTTCTGCTTGGCATAATCTGAGCTATTTAGTGAAGGAAAGCAAAATGTCATAGCAAACACGTTACGCTACTGTGCCACAGCAGAGAAGCAATACTGAACTGAGGAGCTGTGTGTCCATGCAGTCAACACCAGTATGACTCAGTGCTGTTTGAGCTTTGCAACAATTCACTAGAACTGTGAAAAGTCCATTACTTCTCTGAGAAAATGACACACGTGCTAGCTGAGTCACCTGCAGTTATGGGGAACATCCAGTAGCAAAAGAAATAGAAAGTCTCTACTCCAGCAATAACTACAGCATGCTTTTATTGTAGTAGTTACTATATGGATTTATTAATGGCATAAGATGTAAACATAATTCCTCTTTTAATGTGCTCCATAAGACAATTCTAGGTTATCTCACATCAGTACAAAGGACCTGACTAGAACACAAAACAACTCAGAAGCAGCTGTTTTTACCTTCCAGTGGTGCAGATACTGGAGACTCCCGCATTGACATTCCTTGCTTTATATTTCCTTCCATTGTATCATAACTTCTTTTTAAACTAATTTCATGAGCAGTTCTTGGGCTCCTTGTTCCTTCACGAACATTTTTAATAGCTGGTAACATTTAGAGAAATGTGGTTAGAAAATGCAGAAGTCATGAGCATTACATTTAATGAGACCAGAGGACATTAATACTTTATTGATGACTTTGATGTAATACTGAATCATTAAAATGCAAGCTTAATGATCTTTTATGGTTTGTTAAACAAAGTACTTTCTCAGTTGCTTGCGTATCAGTATTTCAAATGAAGCATGAAGTTTATAAAAAAAAAAAAAAAAAACAAAACCTGTGGCCTTTATTTTAATATAGGGTATTTTAAACTTGATTGTCTCAAAAATTTTTTCAGGACACAATAAAAATCAGCAGCACAGCAATTGAATTAACTACATTTTATCTACATATACAGGATACTCATCAGAACACAGATAAAATTTCTGGACCATTTTAGTCTTTATACCCACAGAAACACACAGGTAGGTCAGTGTTTCTTCCAGGTGGCACCCAGTGACTGAGGTTTATATCCACACATTTGGAAGCGTACAGACTTGAGCAGAATCCGCTGCAGTCTTGGCTTTCATCGAGTAGAACATATAAATACTCACCATCATAAGATAAAATATGCCCACTTTTGCCTTCATAAATAACATGGCCTTTGGCTGAAGCTTCCTCTCGGCACTTTTCTGGGCTGCTGTCTTCTGTAGCTAGCCGGGTAATCGTCCCCTTCAGTAACGCATCAGCTGCTATGCCAGACTGGGACAGAGCTGGTGTACCCTGCATTTAAATCAATCAAATATAATTCAGACCATGTGTATTTAAGCAAGAAAATAGGCAGCCATGAAGGACAGTGTTCTATTTTTAAGATTTAGAACACCAACCACTTTAACAAGCAGCATTTCTTAAGCTTCTGTCCCTATTATCAGAAATTTAACCTACATATTAATAAAATTATTTGTAACCAATTCTCACCTTTAAAAAAAGCACATAAAGCAGAATTGGAAGTACAATATTAGAGAAGTATTTAGTGACCTAGAACATTTACACCATAGTATCACCTGGGGGAAAGGTAGCATACTCTACATACTTACTGGAGCCATTACGATGTATGTCTATCTACAGTAATGAAACCTACCCTTCTGAGAATAGAATTGTTCCTATTGCTGTCTGTAACTAAGAGAGATTCCAAATCACCATTTAAAACAGCTTATCCATCCTCTGTGCAAGACAGGTTACAACTGATTTTACTACTCGAACTCAAGCATGATGCAGTTTTTCCACAGAAGTTGCTACTGATAAAGGTTGGATGACACTAATAAGCCCTCACGTATACATTATATATATTAAAGGCTCCAGCGATTTTATTTGACAAGTTTGAAAACATGGAGATGAAATCCATGCAGTGCTGACTTCATTGATGGTTGGATTTGACTATCTAATTCTATTTAAACTTTTGAGGTAGTTCCTGTTCTGTGGTATTTACTCCTTGTAGACATGCAAAAATACAATCACAGCAATAACTGAAATACACCGTTATGCTACAGCCTTCTCAGTGAGAGAATACCTGAGTTATGGAGCCTCTCAAAGAAGGAATGGTCTCAACAGAAACTTTATTGGTTGGAGTTCCTCGTGTTATACTTCCCTCCTGTATGGTTGTGGTGCCTGATTTAAAATAAAGATACGTATAGATAAAAAAACAAACAACAGAAAATATAGCAACTCTACTTGAAACAGAAACTGTAATAAGAGCCACTAGTTCATATCCTAAAGCACAAGGAAATTTTCAGCTTGTTAACAACGTGTATGCAAGGCAGCTAAACTATTTCCTCTTTTGACTTAGCCTTTTATGGCATGCGAAGCTATTAACCCACGCTGCTTAGCTTCCTCTCCTCTGAAATATTTCTATATTTCACAAGTATTGCACTTGTGAAACTGGCATCTCTGGAAACTAATTTTTTTAAAACGAGATACGCAGACAAGAGGAGCTTTACTAATACACATGTAGACATGCCTCAGAAACAAGGGAACAGATTAATCCTTTAATGTTTAAAAATAAGACTTGAGTAGCTTAGGCTCAAACTCTCTGCTCCCCCAGAAAGAAATTTCTTTCTTAAACTGTATGACTGACATTACCTCGAACAACACCTTCATGCTGTGCCCTGACCAGGAGTCCCTCAGGTTGGGAATTCTGACTTCTGGGAGAAAATTCTTCTTGTTTGATGTAAGGCAGGGAAGCTATTCAGAAGAAAAAATAAAAGGTTTTTTTCCTTGCTTGCTGGTATTCTCTCCCCCACTCTCTTAGTTACAAGTTATTAAATAGTCTGTCCAAAAGGTATGTCAGCTCCTCTTTTCTTACCAGATTTGGCTGACTCCTGCTGCCTTGGCAGTCCAAGTGATATGGAACCCACTGATGGCTTTGCTGTTTCTTGCGTATAGGAAGCTTGACTGTGAGATGTTAAGTAAGTGCCAGGTGTTCCCTGAAACAATACATCATGTTAATTGTTGGTTCTGGAAAAAAGATTCACTTCTGTGTTTGAAGGAGACAGTTAAAACTATGATCCTAAAATGCTACAGAACATTGCTGCAAAATAAGTGCAGAACTATAAGAGTCCAGAGAAGAGATGCAGTCCACCTGAACAGTGCCTTCTCAACTATGTAATAAACACAAACAACTGCAGCATGTTTTATTTTGTAAGATACCTCCTGGATCGTTAGAGATAACGTGTAGTATCTTTAACTGTTAATGCTGTGAACGTGTTACTGAATACAAGATCCTGGAGGTTGGTGAAAGGGCAAAAAGTGTTGTTACAAGGCACAAATTTTCAATGAATAATTCTCTTACTTGTGAGATTGAGCCTCCCATAATGAAAGAAGGTTTTTCTGATGGCACACTTGTTTTAGAGGATGGAATGAGTGGTGGTGGTGGTCTGGTAGGTCTGGTTGTAGGAAGTCGGACTCCTTCAGGAATATTGGTTATTACTTGATGAGGAGCAGGCTGCAGAACTTAGGGAAAAATTGTACATTAAACATGACAGTCTGTTTCAGCTCTATTAGTCAGTAGAGAGACAAGAACACAAATTGTGTAGCTCATCTGACGATTTCCAACAAGAACAGCCTCGCAATACCCAAAAGCTCTCTCATGTATTTCCAGCTCTGAAACTATGTCCAAATATACATCACACTTTAAAAATCAAGTGGATAATACCCAACCTTGCAGTGGCGTTCAAAAAATGACAGAAGCTGCCCATTAGAATTACAAACTCTTAAAAATGAATTTTTAAAGCTAACAATCCAGGATACATTCATCTTTTTTGTTGCTTTCCTGTTTTTAGATAAAGCATTCTATTTAAAGAATAAGAACAACTGAGCAGAGTGTAATTTAGGCTTCTCTCAGCTCTGCCTGAAGATGACAGTATTTGTCATATTGAGCTGAAAAAACTTTTGATGACTTTGTCCCTATGCTGTTCTAACACTTTAGAGATCATCCTATTTGTTAAGTAAAATACATGTTTGCTGATAAAACAAAATCCAGGACTAACAAAACCACAACCTCACTGGAGGCAGAAAAATACATATACACAAACAACCCCCTTCTTCTGTTAGTTCACAAAGCACTCAGAGAATAATTTGATACTGCAGATAGTAAAAGAAGTCCATCTTTCAGAGACCACACAGTGCTGTGGCACCAGAACAAGCATTTACCTGGTGGGACACTATAGCGAGCTGCATTCATATCGGGCTGAGGAGAGGCTTTATTGACTTCTCTTGGAGACAGCCTGTATGGTGATGCTGACCTTGCTGCTGTAGTTTGCACTTGTGCTTCCTGTTCTATTGCTCGCTTGACCTCAGCGTAGGGCATATAGGCCACTGGTTTTCCTAACAGGGTTAAAGAAAGAGGAGAATCCTAAGATTAGAAATTGGAGTCAAAAGGTCCAGCATGCAACAGAATTTTAGCAAAGGGCCGATTACAATGGTCAGATTGTACTCAGCAGGTACAGATGTTTAAATGCAAAGATGCAATCTGACTAAAAAGGAAACAACTGCCTTCAAAACATCACTTGGCACTGAAATAACAGAAAAATTCCAAAGTTGGGCATGTGGGCTCTTCCTAAATGAAAAGAATGAAAGTTCTACATACTGAGGCATGAGGATACCAATTCTTGTGTCAGTTTCCTGGCTTACAACAAGTAAGCACTGCAACCAGTAGACAGTGAGTGTATTTAGCACTGCTATCTTTTAGATAATTCAGACTCATGCATTTGTTTCAAAATCAACGTGCACATATACATACATAAATTCATTCTAGAATACTGTCCTTGGCAAAGACTTCAAGTTTTTTTTTAATTAAGTTACACATAGGTATCAGGTTGCTTTCCAAAATAATTAGAAAATTAGATTAAAGGTGCAACTTAATTTATTATGTTCTTAGGTCTGTACAAAATTTTGAACAACTCTCAAACTTTGTGAAAAAAACAGTATTTGGTCCCTTTACACCTCTTAACTGTCGTAAGCCAGTTCAGCAGCAGGTCCTGCAGTCCAGCTGAAATTCCTGATCATTTTTACACAGACCACATGCTCCCTCCTACATACAAGAGTGGAAGGACAAACTTGCATGCAGAATGTATCTTAGGAAGTAGCTACTGTAATGATCTGTTGACAAGTCAGCCTCTTTAATTTGCAGATGAAAACGTCCAGGCTTGTAGAACCCATTTGCATTAACCACGTTATCCCCCCACTACTTCAGTAACACTCCTGATTTTTGTGGGCAGACTTCATGCTAGAACTTTCCCACAGTTTATAACACAGTACTGCCAACGTCAAGATTTATTGAGGTAATATTTTAGCTAAATGGTACTTGAGCAAAGGTTTTGAGCAAACAGTGACTTTGCACCTAAAGAAGCAGCTTCCAAAAACCACAACCTTATACCCACTCTCTCAGTGTAAAAGCTCCCTTTCTCACCATTTTAACAGGGGGGAAAAAAAAGTATGTTTCCTTCTTTTTAGGTAAAAATAATGAAGACAAAGCATTTTCATAGCATATTTTTTAAACTTACACATGTTAAATATAAAATAGTGCACAAAGAACACAGCAGTTCATGTTGCTAACATTGTGGAGCCACCAGACACGACGCACAAGGATATTAAATCAATGAATGAATGAATCAATGAGGATATCTCTAACTTTGCAGTGCTCAGTACATTGGTGCCTCACTGGTTTTGTTTCCCTGTTACAATGCATTTTCTGGACTGCTTCCTCCTCCAGTAAAGAACGTTGGGTATTCAGAGGTAACACTTACAGTGAAGAACTGGGGCTTCCACTGAATATGCACAATTCTTGCATAAAGACAATCATCTGCTCAGCTGTTTCTGAACACTAAATTCGGACCTCACCCTAAGGGAGCCCAATTTGCCTTATTCAGTGAGGTTATAAGGTAGCTCCCTAACCCTGTAACTGTAGCAGGACCTGTTACAATAGACTGGCTCCTTCAATCAAATTCCTTAAGAAAGCAGGAATTCATCAACAGTATGTTAAATTTTCCTTCTTAAACGAGGCATAGAGGTGAACATGTGACATACAGTAGAATTACTTCCACGACAGATGTAAAACCTACCTTCCCACTCAACATTAGGGCTTTTGGAAGTGCCACACGGGCTCACAGAGCTTCGATACTCCATGTCCAGCTGTTCCTGCCTCTGGCGTTGCTCCTCCAGCAGTGCTGACTCATGCATTGCTTTAATGTGCCGTTGATAGAGAGCATAACCACTCACTGGAGTTCCAACAGGAACAGTACAGGGACTGCAAGAAACCTACAAAGAGGGGAAGATGCTCACAATTGGCAACTTAATACTAAGTATTTCCTGAAGTAACCATCTTGTTCAATGGCCCCATTGCACCAGGGGCACAGTCTGCATGAGCACTTCAAACGGTCTACTTCTCTTTTTAGGCCAATACTTGTATATTTGTTTCTATTTCATTTAATTCACTCTTGAAAAGTAACACAATAACAAAGTAAACAATGTATTTCTTTCTTTGTTTCAAAACTATTAGCTGCTTTAGCATTGAAACTAGCTATCAGGAAAACAAATACTCCTTCAAACACCACTTAAAACACCCCCCATACCATAGGTGGTATGACAGCTGCTCGGTGGTGAAGCTGTTGTAGGTCCATCTGCCCTTGCTTTATTGTAGGTGACACCAGTATTGATCCAGCTGGGTTTAACAATGAGGGCTTTGACTCCCTGAAGATACTGGAAAAAGAGAGAGAAAGAATCACCAAAAAGACCAAGATTCAACATGCTGTACAACATCAAATAAACAAAATAAAGATTATGTTTTGTTTGTCCCAAAGTACATCAGGTAGAATAAGCAACAGATCTTTCTGTGTTGTAAGAGTCACCGAAATAACAAGTGTGCAAAATCTTCAGAACTATATATTTATGTATGCAGTTTCCATATGTACAGTATTACAAGAGTGCAACCTTCTTTATAAAGAATGCCTTTAGGTGGGAAGTGCAAGATCTATACATAAACAGTAGTGTATAACAGAATTTCCACCCAGAGACCTAATACATTTGTGATGTCTGAAGAGGCAGAGAGAAACACCATCAACTGCACTCTTCAAAACAGCACATGCAGCACAATGACACTGGATACTTTTGACATTTAACAGCTATCCTTGGTACAGTGTGTATATTAAGACCACTGGCATAGAGGAGGCATCGGCTCTGAAGCTACGCTATGGTTACAGAGGAATCTCACCAACAGAACACACTGGGGTGGATGAGGAGCAGAACTCGTAAGAGCACTTATGGATCAGGACTAAAGGGAGAGCAGAGACAGGTAATGTCACCAAGCTCAAGAGTGAAGCATCCCAACTAAGAATTCAGGCAAAAATAATAGGAAGCATGCATGGATGAGCAAAGAGCTCAAAAATGTCACTACTGATGACAGTTTTTAAGTAAAAACTTACTAAGTAAAAGTAAACTAAAAGTAAACTTTTTTTACTAAAAGTAAAAGTAAAAAAGTAAAACTAAGTAAAAACTCACTAAGTAAAACCATATCAGCTTTTTAAATACGGAAGTTTTGGAATGCTAAATAGTTAAACTCACCCTTGTCTGTCAGGCTCTCCATCAACTTCCTCATCAGCACTACACGTGGCACTCGAATCATTATCTGAATGGGATTCTTGTCTTGCTGAGTTAACCTGTTGTGACAAACTATAATCCATTTCTTCAGGTTCTGACTTCTCCTTGGGCTTCTCCACCTCTCTCTCTTTGGTATCACTCTCTATTTTTACTTGAATATTTTCTGGTAGCCTCATTTCAGTCTCTACAGGTTCAACTTTGGTATGCACTGGAAGATTAAGCACAGGCTTAGCTTCAACTGGATGGCTTCTACTGTCAACCTCCATAGGTTCTTCAGCTTCAGTATTTATTTCCTCCTTAACCTGTGGCTCAGAGGTCTGACTTTCAGCTGTTGATACACTTTGGGATGTTACGGAGGGAGATGTGCTGGCTGCAGGTTTAACAGTAGATTCCTGTTCTGCTGCCGCCTCAGTGGTCATTTTTGGAGCAGCACTCTCAGATGGAGTTTCTTCAGTTGGTTTAGCAGTTTCTGCTGGAGTTGGAGATGGAGCACTTTCAGTATCAGAACTATTTTCAGCACCTGAAAATTACAAAGTTTTAGAATCGACTCAACATTAAATGAGATCCAACTAAGCTTCAGTCAACTGCTGCTTAGTATTTACTATAACGATGAAATATACATCTGCAAAACACAAGACAATTGCCCTAAGAGCATCGACCAGCAAAAATCTGATTCAATTTTCAGACTGCTCAGTACCAAAAACAATTTTTCCTCTCCACATACAACTAGTGAAGTAAGTTCCAAAAGCTGAAAATCAACTGTTTGAGTACGACATTATGAAATGGAGTACAGCTTTCTGATCAACACCTTTCCCTTCCAGTGCACATGGGCGTCCCCCCCTTCCCACGAAGTTACCTTCACTGTCCTCTGGATTCTCTTCTTCATTAGATGCTTCGATATCTTCATCCTCCTGAGCTGACACAGTCGAAGCTACACTCTCACACTGTGATACATCTCGCTCTTCACGGGGCCTTCGTGAGGACTGATAAATACATGGCATTTATACGTACTGAAAATTTAAAAGTATTCTTTCTTTCTAGATGCAGTCTCATTTCTTAACCTCAGGTTGAAATGAAAGGCACAGAATCTCTTTAGTACAGACTCATTTGCAGGGACATACTCTTTCAAGCTCTGTACAGCTTTTGCTGCTCCTGACCAAAAGTAAGTTTGGGAACAAACCACTGTCTCCATACACATTTAGGGGAAAAAAGGAATTAGTGCAGCAAACAGAGAAACCAATGCTCTTCACTTCAGCAGAGAGAAGACTAGGACACTACAGCGTAGAGGATACCAACTTCCACTTCAGATGCCACAGAACTTTCAGCTCATGCTCTTGTATTAATACTGTTGCTCTGTTCTGTAAGGTCAGTGCTTACTGTGCACTGAGACATATTTCAAGGTAACTTTTCCATAGCCTTGCCCTGAACTTCATCTATAGTTGCTGGCGTACAAATAAAAGCACTTAGGAATTCTTCAAGCTTAAGCATGCCATCCAATAGACAATTTTCTATTGTATTCTAAAGCATTTTACTATCACAGGTCAATGAGCATCAGTTGCCTTCTCTAGATTTACACCACAACACAAAAACAGAAACAAGTGGCGAGTGCAGAACAGTTTTAGTGAAGTGCAATGAATGAGATCCAAAATTTTTCTCTGCAAAATATGCAATGTCCACTGTATTTACCTTCTGTTTGTGCTGTTGAAGGAGACTGTCCAGGTTATGTCTCCTTTTATAGTTGAAGTAGAAGTTTTTACACTGAGCTTCACTTTTTGTCCCAACCATTTTGGCAATTGCTGCCCAGTTGCGGCCATGTTCCACAAGGCCTGTTCAGACATAAAGAAAACAGATATTTGCTATAATGAGTAATTCAGAGATCCAAACCCTCATAAATCAAGCAACATGAGCAGTTGGAAAGGAAGGTACTGAAGTATTGCTGTCCTTACAAATTATCACAGTGAGAATCCTTATGCGACCACTAACTATGGGGATGGAAAATAAACTGTCTATCAAAATGTCTGCTAATGAAGCCTTTAGACTTAACTCTGCTGTTGCTAATACATAATACTTCTGTGAAAACACTGGTTTTATGGGTAATATTTAGAGATAACATTATCTGTCAGATGAATAGACAGCTTACAAAACACACTGACTTTTCTGTCAGAGGACTGTCTCGCATCTCACACAAAAGGAACTTTTGTAAGTTGTAAACACAAAAACATAGCAAATTTCAAATAATTCATTTAGTGTAGTGCTGCACAGAATCACAGTACTTACAGAATTCAGAAGGAAGCATTCAATAGTTCAGTAAATACAGTAATCAGAAGTAAATCAAATTTTTACAAAGTTTACCCTTCTTAGCAACTTCCATTTCTTCTTCTGTCCAGCGGGATGTCTCCACAGGCTCTGAAGAAGCTGAAAGAGCAAATGATAGCTGATCAGAAAAAAAGAACAAGAGTTTCTTTTATGGCATGCACCCCATAATCCATTACAGTAAGGCTTATTCAAGACACATGGGAAAGCTGCTCTTGTCGGTGGGAAATAGTCTTCATTAAGCCAAGACAGAAATATACATTCCCAGCAGGGCCCCATTTCCTCTTTTGATCCATTCTTTCCTTTCTATCCACCAGGGTTCTGTAAGTTTAGATGTTACAGTAATGCAAACATGCTATATTCTTCTAAAATCACAAAAGAACTTTCTGCACTCTTACTGCCCACGTGATTGCCTACGTTTTCAGCATGTTGATTACTGCAGTGGCTGAACAACGACAATAAAAAAAACAACAAACTGATTCTCAGTTGTAATTTAACCTTGACCTCATAAACCAAGCATATAATCAACTCAGGTAAAACAAACCAGCAGTATTTTGTCGTTGTTGGAGGGAGACATAACATAGTAGCTTCTTTAAAAGGTGTTTGGCACTTTTCTCACAATGCAAGATGCTATAGAGTGGTTTCCACCTTATTTCATTGACTACTGTGGAATGGACTGAAACGGCTTTTCAACAATTAGCTGTTATCAAATCTACTATTCTTGTACTGATTACATTTTCTACTTGAGAAACAGAAAAATAAAAGAACAGTGAAAACAAAAACAAGAAGGAAACTATGATTTATGGCAAAATCTTTTTCATTTACTTCTCTGGATTCGACAACATTCTGTTTCTGAATGGCATGAAGTGGCAACAGCCTCCATTTCCTTTTCATAAAATCTGCCATTACAAACAGCATACAACTTGGACTTTCCAACAGCTTCCATTAACAATACAAGAAAGATGCTACAAAGAGGATCTGACCCTCTGAAAAGCTATTCTGGATTTTCCAGAAAATCCTGTAAAAACAAAGAAAAAAAGTAACTATTGCCATTTTCCAGCAGCTGACAAAAAAAGAACCGTCAACTGAGAAAAAGTGTTTAACACAATTACTGATATTTAGAGCTAAAGAACTCATTTGCCTACTTTCTCTGTTAGGATGTGAAGAAAATTTGAGCAACAGCAAAAGTTGTTACAAATTCTGTAAGAGCAGCTGCCAGTAACTACCCAGCTGGAGAGCTAAGACTGGTGTTTGCCACAGCACAGCAGTGAAGGAAAAAAAGCCACACCAACTTGGCTAATTACTGACCTGTCACAAAGCATTCTGATTGCCAGTATTTCTGCACCACCACAAATTATGTCAGAAATGCAGCTAGAGTTAGAATACTCCTTTCTAACACGCCAAGGGAGTAACATTTCTATTTTAAAGAAATCTCTTGCCATCTAATGCAGAAATGATAACAAAAACAACTTGCTGGGATCTATTTCAGATTATGAAACTCCCCAGTATACTCAAATACGAAGTCTACTTATTTATTTAAAATAAATTCCATGAGCTACGGCCTATAAGTCAACCTCTGCCAAAAGCATTTGGATCTGCATGCATCCATCAATAACTCTGAAAAACAGAAAAAGCAGTTAATGCAAAATCTTAACTGGCTCCTACCATATGTGGTTTTGAGAGTCATCTGACTACAACTGTATCATTCAGATGCACCTATGAAATTTAACAGTAACAAATGGTCATAAAATTATAAAGGCCTAAGAATAAAGATGTAATACTAAAAACAATCCCAAAACGTACTCCATGTATAGAACACGCTCCTATGTCAGTGATGAGCACGACCACAGATGGGTCCCCAAGTGTCCCATCAATGCTACTCACAAGGTTCTGGTGGGGGTGGAAGAGGCGGTGGTGGTTCTTCAGTGGCTGCAGCTGCAGCAGCATTTGCTTGTGCAGCTTCATTTGTCATTGATCTGGTGATTCTGCCCTTACGACGACCCTGGCTATTGGCAGTTTTGCGGCCCCTAGGAGTGGCCTGCTCCCTTTCCTCTGTTTCCTCTGTGGCAACTTCAGTTTTGTCCTTTTCTTTGGTATTCTCTCTGAGAATAGTTTAAAGATAAATATAAATAAAGTTATTATTTATACTCATTCAGATTTTAGTTATGGACAGTCTGATTAGTTAAAAAAAACCAAATTAATCTATGTTGTTTGATGCATAAGAACTAAATAGGAACAAGATGTCACTGCTGGACTCATTCATGCTGAACCTTATCTGTTTTCTATAAAAAAAAAACTGAATAAAAGTTACTGCAATCTAGATTAAGTATATTTTCTGTACATATACTTACTTAGATTCCTCCTTCTCATCCTTTTCCTCCTCATCTTTCTTTTCCTCGTCTTTTTTGTCTGCTTTTTCTGCTTTTTCCTCTTCTACCTTTTCTTCTACTTTTTCCTCTTGAGAAGGACGAGCAATTTGTTGCTGAAATAAAACAGAACATACATGTTTTAAACAACAATTTACACACTAAGGAACAGAAGCTCAGAGCACCACAAACTGATGTTATTCCATTTGCAAATTATATTTTAAGCTATAATCACCACACATCTGTCAATGTAACAGTAAAACTGGGTCAGGAATTTAGACTTGTTTCTAGTGAATTTGTGTTGTGTAGATGGAAAATTACAGTTCAGATTATTATTTTTAAATGCTATACCTGTATTGAGATGATAGCTCTGCAAGTACTTAAGTACTGACAAAAGACAATTACCATTACCTGTTATTGCTCTACAGAGAACAGCACAAAATACTGTTCATGCATTAAGGGACACTCACTTTTCAGAGTGAATCCAGATGTCTGCTACGTGGGAAAATTGCAGAAAGCACATAAATTTGATTTAAACTTTCCAGAAGATATAATCTATTCCAAATCAGGAATTAATGGAAGAAATGCCTGTTACTTTATATGACTGCATGGAATTTTACCACTGCTAGAAAGTAAAAAATTAATTTTTAAAAAGTCTCAGAAGTGTGATGAGAATACGTGCCATTATTTTTGCTGCTACCTGTCACACATACACAAAAAAATATCTTAGTGTTCCCTATCAGATTCACTTGTTAGCTATAGGATAGCATTAAGCAAGCCAAATATCCCCTGATGTTCTAAGAAAGCATAAAGAAAATAAGAAACACTCATACAGAAAAATAATATGTTAAGGAAAATATATTAAATATGGCTGTTGAAGAAACTTCCTTAAGTTTTAGCATTCTGTCCTTCTAGTACATTGCTTCTCAGCACTCTGAAGACCTCAGCTTTTCTGACCTGAACTGGTCAAGATAGAAAGTAAAGCTGGTAAGTATTTACTAGCATTAATGAAGAACACTTCCCTTTGGATCCTTTTTAAACCACTGACTGCTAGCCAGATAAAATGCTGTTCAGTTCAGCAGCACTGTACTTTGCCACATAGGCCACAAGTCTCGTTAAGCATGACAAAGAGCCTCATATTGCTTTTTGCAATCCACAGTGCTCAACCTGCACATGACAAACACATCTTGTGCTTCTCAAGCAAGTCATGAAGGCAGAAATTCATCAGTGCTGGATATTCCTTCCTCTCCCGATGAAAGCATCAAGCAGCAGCTGGCTGTCACAAAATAAATCATGTAACCCACTCCCAAAATTCACAGAATCCCCACATGCAAACAATGGCAAGTGAGTGAATTCTCCTGATGGGCCTCAAAAGCCAGCAAGACCACAGAGAGTATTCAGAGCTTAATGCTGCGTCCAGATGTTCATGCTGAACCTTATCTAAAACAAGGTGATCCTCCAGGTGCCACAAGAAAATCCAAGCCTGCTGTATTAGGCACGATACATCAAAACTGGGAAAATCACCAGCTTCAGATTGCAGACGAGTTAGAGCAGGAACAACTCCAGCCAGAGGTGAGGAGGGGAGAGGGAAGTATTAAAAAAAAGTTCTCTTCCTCCTCTCTGAAAATGTGTTTTCATAACATAACTTAAATAAATGATTACAGTTTAAATGTTTTCATAAGAAACTACAGCACACACAGAGAGAGGGGATTCAGAAATAGCCACATAGAGGGAACCATCAGCAGGAATTCACACTGAAAGAGCTTGAATGGGTTAAACAAAGCACCTCCGCCAGAGTCCCGATGCCAAAGAACCACCGCACTGAGGTGGCTTTCCACTCACATTTGTGTTGTGCAGAACAGAGCTGCTCCTTGCTGGGTGTTACACTCTGCAAATCTACTTTAAAAAGCAAAGTAGGTGTAGTATTTACATATGGCTAATTTTATATGGGGCTACCTTTCACATAAATGCCAAACATACACTGGGAAATCTGTAGAAAGTCAAGGACGGGGATCTAGAAGATAGCTGGTTTAGAGCTAGCCATTCCATAATTGATAGCCCACTGAAATATTCCTCAAAATAAGCTTTTTTTACTGAAGAACCTTCTTGAAAGCATAGCAGCAGGTGTCACTGTTTCATCAGCAAAGCTGAAGCTGGAAATAGTCAAGAAAAGGGCTTGTTTTTGACATTTTAATAGCGTGAATTGGAGCAGAAACCCCGAACACTAACCATTATTATCCTGCAAATTAGTAGCACCTAAGATACTAGCGTTACTTCGTGATCCAAAACATTCCTTCACAGAAGATGCCAGAGACACGTACTAAGGTAAATTATTTCCACTGCCCCACATAGAGCAGCCTTGAAAACGAGGAGTTAAAATCTGCATTTTCAGAAGAAGAACTCCGTATTTTACATTTAATCTAATCCCAAAACAGTTGCTGAAAACCCTCTGCTCTTTTTGCCATTTGGTTAATATGATATCATAATTTTTTTAACATGCATAATCAATAGGTCAAGGGCAGGTTAAACACAAACCTTCAAACAGCTGAAGCCTCAGTCAGCGACGTACCTGCACATTCATCTGTTGATTAAAACTTTTACTATCCAGAGAAGGGGACGGGCTTTAGTTCAGGATAAGATTCAAAAGGACAAAACCCCCAACAGCACCGACATCACACGGCTCCCGAGCAGCAGCTGCCTGACCCAGCAACATGTTTATTCCAGGAAATTGTGTCATTCTGCCACTTAAGCTGCCCGCAGAAGAGTTGCCCATCTCACATACAACCTTCTAATCTCACCGGGGTCACACGAGGCGATCCCGTCAGCTCGGCTGATTGGCGGCCGCAGGAGCACAGCGAATTTCTGTCTAGTCAGGTCACCGGGCTGGGCCACCTGCTGCAAAGCACAGCCTGCAGACACTGCTGAGCAGGCAGCCACGGAATCGCAGCCCGGCTGCTGCTTTGCTGCTGAATGTCAGTGAGAAGCTTTACTCAGAGCCTCCTTTCAATGAGCTATTTAAGGAGTTATCTGTAATGAAACCAGTGCAAAAACATCGACTTCTTCGCTCCATCAACTCCCAACTTGCAAAACAACAACCCTCAAACCTCCTGTGGGCAGCTGTTTTTCCCTCCTGAAACAAAACTTGGAATAGGACTCGCAAACAGCCAAAAACGTACAGTCAGGCTTCGATCTTACAGCCACGCTTCCTTTTAATACTATGTTGAAGATCTGCACTTTGTTTTATAATTCACATTTGGTTTAAGGCACACCACCCTCCTCACCTCTGTGAGCACTGTGGGACACTTTAGGCAGCATTTTATAACAAGATCCTTCTAAGCCTATTCAAGGACAAATGTACATCAGAATCCACTAAGCTTTACATCTCTTAACTTTATATGCCTTAACCTAGCAGTCAGCTTCTGTAAGCATAAGCCTCCACTGAAATTTGAGTCAGGCCGTACTCACTGAAGTTCTCAATGATTTCAACATTGTTACCATGATTAATATCTCCACTGCAACGTTCTATGTGCTTGCCTTCTACTTTATAAAAATATATGAACTCTGAAGAGCTTAAGCTGAAGCACCTGTTATTGGCATAAGCGTATCTCAGAGCACATCATAAATCTTCACACCTTGTATTTGCCAATCAGCAAGGAAGTTTCAGGTTGCCACTCAGATAGGAGAAAGATCAACTTCAAACAAAGCTGGGGTGAGGGAGGGACAGAGGGAATTAATTACAGTCTGCAGCCACAAGGAAGAGTCCTGGCAAGCAAGGCACTTCAACACTCTCAAGTCCTCTTTAACTAGTTTACATAGATGTCACTAATCAATCATCAATAAAATTAAGAACTAGAAACACGACTCTTTACTTCAGGGTCACTAAACACCAACTGTAACACTCCTGAGTTTAAGCTTCAAGAAACAGTAAAAGTGTTCACATCTGGCACATTCAAAGTATTTCTTTGTCTTTCCAAGTATGCTATATGACATTTATCTGTATCCTTACTGCAGAGCACACCTTAAGTCCACGCAGCAGCTGTCCATTGATCTGCTGTTGTATTTAATGTGGAACAACATCTAGCAAATAAGATCCACAAGTGATAAAATTCAAAGACTGAGTAACCTGAGTCTAAAAACTGACTTCAGCAGCTCCAGTGCTCCAACTCACATATGTGCTGCAACTTACGTATGGATGGTATTCATAGAAGTCACAAAGCCAGGCAAGAGCACCTTCATCTTCCTTTTAGCTGAGGTCACAAATCTGTGTATGCACTTTTGTACAAGACTGTAATTCAAATCTTTCTTGTTTGTAAGCGTTATTCAAGGAAAGTAATTTATGGACGGAGAAATCTGTTCAAATTTTGATTCTACCAGTTTTGATACTCTAAAATGCAGCAATGCTGAAAGAAATTTAAACACAGTTGTGATCTTCTGAATACTTCACAACTTAAAGTTATGCTGTGATACAGATGGAGCCAGTTATGTCTCCTCACCTCTTATTACAGAGAACACCGTATGGCAAAGGCATCACTTAACATGTGTGTACTATCACCATGCCAAACTCATTTTATACTGAACTCTGAAACTAAACCACTTAAAATAGCAGCAATACGTGTATTTGGTTCTTACAGCAAATTTTGGACAAATTTCATTTATTTTCATCTTCTTTGTATTTTCCATACAATCTTAATTGATTTTTTTTTATTTTTTTCTACCATCACTAGTCACACAGAAATTTTTCTTATTACATTTTTCTTATTATTAAATCGAAGAAGTCTAATATAAGTGCTGGTAAAATACAGGGCATGTTTCATTTACTTGCAACCACTACCATAGTCATAGCTTCTACCCAGGCTACCTGCCAAGTCCTTTACATAATGAAATTATTTTCTCCCATCAATCCATAATTTGTGGGGCTACAGAGAAATCAGTCCTCGTTGGCACAGTCTCTTCTGTCAGAATATCAAACAATATGTTAAAAAGGCTTAAATGCAATAGCTCCATAGAAGCACAGAATACTGTTTTTAGCCAACAGGATCAATTTGTCAGCTGCAGTTGCATTACACTTACTGGGACTTATTATTAGATAAGAGGATATGCACATATATGACCTTCTTTCCTAACCTCATTACTCTTTTATTCTATTTTCAGAATGCTGTTAGATGCAAAGGAAAATCAAAACACGATGACAGTGAATATACAGCATTGCTCCCTTTTTCTAAACAAGTCTCAGCAGTTTTGTTTTCCTAATATCCACATTAAACCCAGAAGCCTAACAAACATATATATTCTTCATAATATGCTGTTCTTTCCCCTTGGAAACCCTTCCAAAGGTTTCCAAGACTTCCAAGTGAATTATTCTAGAATCAGTAGAATTTTTAATTTCCATGCATTAAATTTGTCTCTTTCTTCTTGCTATTAAGTTCCAGTTTGACTTTGAGCCTGACCACCAAGAAACTATCACTACTAATTTCTGCTTTTTGACAAGCACTGCCATTACAAAGTGATTATATGTTTTCCACTGCAAGTCACATGTGAAACCTTATTTCTGTTGGCTCCACCATGGAATTTAATAATTATGGATTTGACCTCCATGTCTATGGCAGGGTCCTCACATAAAATGAGTTGACATTGAAAAAAAAAAAAAAAAAAAAAAAAAAAAAAAAAAAAAAAAAACCTATAAATGTGCAAAGGAAGAAGATACTGCATAGAGTTAAGTACTAACCAAAAACCCTTTAATGACAGATTCCTTAATTTTAATTTTAAAGGGAGGCAAGAACGAACAAAAAAGGAACTTTCTTTTCCACTTCGTACCTTCTGTATAGGATATCAAGATAGCTATAAATATGAAACAGTAAAACAATATTCAAGTGAGATATCAGTGTCAGATACCTGGTTTCTTCCTCTGCGTTTACCATAATTCCTTCGCACAAGGGCTTTATAGTTTTCATTTTTCTTAGTCAAGTAATAATAGAGTACACAGTCAGGAACATTCTAAAAAGGAAAAGGAAAAAAAAAAAAAGTTTTTATACCTGCAAGAAAACCCCCACATTGTAACTACTTAATTTCCTCCAACATTAAAAATATTCATCCTCTAGATTTACAAGCTACTAGACTTGATAGTTACATCAGTAGGAAAGTAAATTCATGCACAAATGTAACAAATATAACCATGCATAAAATTACACAGTGCTAAATACAAGTCTCATGTGTTTATAATATCCCTCAGGTACCCTAGTTGGCACAGTTTAATGTATACCAGTCAGTTTGCAAACTTGTGAAAGCCTCTATTTATAATAATAGTCCTAAGTAATCAAGATCCTTATGTCTCAACAAATCATAATCCTCCATTACTTCTTACATGATCTCTGCAAAGTCAGTTCTAAAGACTAATTCAGCCAGCAGTAGGATCTCACTGACCTGAACTGTGGAGGCAAGGTTTCTTAGAGTTAGCACAGTGGCATAGCAGACCAAATGATACCCTTACTTAAAGATTTACATCACTAAAGCAGCTTCTCAGCTTCAAAAGTAAAGTAAATCAAAACTAATTCAAGCGTCATTTACTTTTACTGCTATCAATAGTGTCACTCCACTAACTTTTGTTAGATGCTTGCTTGTGCTGATCGTGTAACTGTTCAAGCACAACAAAAGCAGGAACTTTTTTCAGAACTGCAATTTTTCCCAAGCTGATAAAATAATGCTGGAATAAACAACTTACATTTAGAAAATTAGGGATCCCACCCATGGCTCTACATGTATTCAAAAAGGTCTTACCTTTCGTTCCAGGTAGGAAGCAATTAGACCAAAGTTCTTGGGATGTTGGACAAACCTTTTACAAATCAGAAATTATTTAAGTTTAACAACATAATACATATCAAGTAAACAAAGCAGTCTTCTAAACAATCTGCACCATCAGCAAACTCTTGATTTCTACAACTGAAATTAGTCTAAAAAGTTTAGTTTTCAAATCGTTCAAACTTAGAACAAAGCTAATAACTATCATAATGAGATCTAATTTTCACCTTATCAAAAAACTGAAGTGCGTTAAAAATAATTTCTGATGTACAGCCTAACTGGATGCAATTGAAAGACATACAGAGCAGCCTAAAACTTCTTGCAGTGTTTCATTCGGTTGGACTAGATGATCTTATAGGTCGTTTCCAACCTTGTGATTCTATGATTCTATTCTATGATTCATCCAACTAAGTTATCAAATAGTTCACAAAAACTTCAGTTTTTCCAGTTTAACTCATGTTTAACTCCAGTCTAACTCATGAGATAGGTGTTCAGCTGTCATCAGCATGCAGCAAAAATAAGAGATAAGAAAGCCCATTACTTTTCTTTAAAAATCTCTTTCTCGTGGTCCGTCCAGACATTCATGAATTGTCTGTCCTTATAAACTTTCATGGGATCCTCCATCAGACCATTCATATTAATAAACTTCACTCTTCTCTGTTCTGCATCAAACATCATGGGAGGAATGACTGAGAGCTGACGCATTTGTTTTTCATTATTCTATAGGTAAAGAATAAAAGAAAAAGTAAAAAATGCAAAAAAAAGAAGTTATTAATGTTTACATTTCTCTATTTACACAACTCATAGAAGCTGCAGCACAGCAGACATTCACAGATAGTTGGAAACATCTTTCTGTTGCCTTCTTAATTCTTCTAAAAGTTGTTCATTGGGGCAGTAACATTTACACAGTCAGCTAAAGGAAAAGAAGAGAGCGTCTCACTACAAAGAAATGAAACGGTACAGGGCTTTAGAATGGATGACTTTTCACATGTCTCACACAGCTGTGAAAACAAATAGGTTGTGACATGTCTGAAATGGACAATGAGTAGGTCTAGGAAACACAAATTAGGAAATTAGGAAACACAATCCTTACAAGAAAAGTATTTCTCAGATTTGTTTTAAGCCAAAGCTTGCATAGACTCTCCCAAACCAGCACCCCAAAATGTTTCTCTTCCAATAAAAAAACAAAACAAACCCTCTGAAAGAGACTTTTCCTTTGCACAGTCAGATAGCAAAGCATAGACAATAGCCTCACCTCCTGCTCAGAAAGCCCATCAATGATTTCAGAAATCTCATGCTCACTTCTAGCAATAGTTGCTGAAAGTCCAGCCCCTCTTTGACCAACTCTAGAATTAGGAGTAAAGAGAAGTAGAATTTGTGCTCAATGCCATGAAACACAGTGAACAATGCACTTAATTATAGAACAAAAGAATGTTTTACTTTGTACAGTAAGAAACACTAACATGAATTACCATATAAAATAGCCTTTAAGCAGAAACAACGTCATTATAAATAATTCTAAAAACTGAGTTCTAAGAGATGATGTACAAGAATGTTCCAAATCCACATTTATACCTCTGAAATCGTTCTTGCTGTTCTCTTTGCTTCCGGATTTCTGGAAATTGTTTCTCATAGTACTCTCTTGTTTTGCTCTCCTTAGCTTTCCTGCGTGGATTATTTTCTATCCTGTCAACTTTTTTCTCCCATGCTTCCATCAGCTGATCGTAGCGTTGGCAGATTTTCTGTTCCTGTTAAATTCCAAAAGCAAAGGTTGAACTAAACAGAAATAAATTAAGTGATCAGTACCCCCAGACTGGGTAGGCTCAAGGAATTAAGAGGAATTCTTCCTGCAGCACTGGCTTTCCATTTTGAAAATGACACACAACTGTTTTCAATAGAATGGATCTCAGAACTTACACTGGAGAAAGATATACTAATTCTCTTTTTTTTATACATCACAATGACACTAAATAACTGCAGCCCTTTCTAGAAATCTCACATCTCCAGGAACCAAGCTTTTACTTAACAGAATAGACTGAGGGTTTTAGTTTCTTTTTTTTTTACATTTAAACTTTTGCTAAACGTAATAACAGAAATACCCTTGGGATATCACCCAAAACATGCACTTGCTGTAACAGTACTCAAGGTTAATACTGGTGTTTAACATGCAAACATTTGATTAAAAATTCTGTCAGAATTCAGGATCAGATCTGCTCCTTTTCTTTCAGAACCTATAGCTACTATACAAGAAAGAGGGGCCAGGCAAAACAGTTCAGGATTCTTCACTGGCTTTCTTCCATTCATACTCCAAGAGCAGATTGGAAAGGAGAAGAGGGGAAAAAGCAAAATAAGACCAAAAAAAAAATTCACAGTATTTTCCTGATTGCATTTTAGGATGGTTTTCAGTTAAATAATTAGCAAATAGCAGCTATAAACTGACAGTTTCTTTTCAAATAACTTGATAGAAAATTAGTTTAAAGACATTTTTCTAGCCAATTGAATTTACATGACACAATGGATAAAATACACCAAGAATTTAGATAGAAAACTGACAACACCCTCTTTTTATAAGAAATGATAGTATTACCCGTTGTTTCCTTGCATGATTTCTTCTTTTAAAAAACAGTATTAGCTTTTTCCTCATCACCTGGTTTCTGGAAAACAAAATTTGAGATGTGAACCACATACAATACAAGAACTTCAAAGTTACCCAACCAACTCCACGTGCATTATAGATGCCAGATGGCTGCTACAAAGAATAATTTCAGAGGTAGAAAAACTGGGAAAATTCCTGACAAAACAATCACTTAACTTACACTGTATTTTATCTGAGGGAAAATAATCTAGTAGATGGCTTGAGAGAGACATGGAAGCTCCCAGTTTCAAGCCAGATGCTCTCCTAGAGGTACTAAAATAAGCAAGTTTGGAAAAGATTTTGTGCCTTGGAAAAAAGAAAAAAAAAAAATGCATATTTGCAATTCAATCCTACAAACCATAAAAAATTGGTAGAAGACAACCAGCTTATTTCAGCTAGGCGATTTTTGCTTGCCCCAGCAAATCAACATAGCAAGCAGCAACTCTATTCTCACAGCCCTCGACATGAAACAAGTACAGAATGAAATCAATGAGAAAGTCAGGACTCCTGCCACTTTGTGATAGCAGTAACTTTTGAAACAGTTCTTTGAAACATGAACCTTTGGGAAAAGTTGACAAGGCACATCTAGGTCAGATGTGATATTTCAGGCTTTGAAAAATACCAGTGCTACCAACTTAAAATAAGTTTTATGACTTATTTTTCTCTTTAATCTACCATGCAAAGCTACTGTTTGCCATTGCCTGCAATAAATACGGCCATTTCCTTGCAGCATTGTTCTACAATGTAGAAGTCTGAAGGTTACATGGGCTGGAAGGATGTACATGTTAAAGTGTACATGGTATATTTGGAAATAGCAGCAATTAAAAATTTGAATCTTTAAGTCCAGACCATTTAAAAGGCACAACAAGAAGATACTGAAGCACTCACGTTTTGATGTTTTCATGGTAGACTTTTGTGTCTGATGGTTGGTTGTAAAGCGGCTACAATTTTGGATTAGAAAGATAAACTTAGTACTTTTAAGAGCACGTAATTTTTAAGTATATGGAAAACATTTAACTGCATTAAAATATTCTGCTCACAATTATTCATTCTGAGATGCAGCAACCCAAAGTGACAAGTTTAAGATACTCAACACTTACAGCATAGATTTCATTACTTTAAATTAGATCATTATAACTATTATGTATATAACACTACTTCAGTGCAGTTCTATTTCAACCCCGACCTCTGATTCAAATCTATTTTAAAAGTCATACTTTTAAAATCATCCAGTCATCCAGTTCACTCAAGCCCTAAACCACGAGTGTATTTAAACACACATTAACATATTCTTGTTAAAATAAAGACTCCAGAAGATTAATTGCTTTCTTGAGAATTAAAGATGAATATCAGGCTGAAGACAACTTTTATTTGAAATATGCTCTTAAAATGCACGGTTTGCAATTTCAGGGAGACAACAGAACAACATATATTTCATCTGCACTCCCATGTAGCTATGCTACCAATTCCACTATCAAATACCTGAGATATTCAGAAAAATTTTTTGGCTGATGAATAGACAGGCACAGGATTTCCAAGTTGATATAAAATATCAGGCACCAAGTGAAAAGCAAGAAGAAGTCCCACCCTTTCCCTTCCCAAACCAAAAGATTAAATCACCCTATAATGTTCTTTTATATGTGAACACAGAACAACATGTTTACCACAGCAGAATTACAGATGTGAAAGCTACACTGGCAACACAGTAAACAGAACAAAAACAGACCACTTACCAGTTCAACTTTGGGACCAAGACCTTCAAAAATCTTGTGAGCTTCTTCTGCTTTTTTCTGTAAACAAGATTTTTTATTTTAAAGTGTGGTCTCAAAGCCCTCTGTAGTTCAGGTCTCTAACGTCTCTGAACTTTCACTCAGTCCAGCTGCTATACCCACCTGAGCACATTATATCTTCCTTCACCTACTTCTGCAGTGCTGCCTCAGTGAATCAAGAAGCCTCTACCTGAATTTTGCAGTTACTCTGAACTTTGCAGCGCTCTCTCAACTCAAAAGTGTGGAAAGGTGTACAGAAAAATAAGAGTATACTTCTGAATTAAGGACAAAAATTCTTCAACTGGAAAGTCTGCAATTGTTAACCAACATGTGCATACCAAAGATCATGCCAAAGTGCACATGCATGCCAAAGATCTTCTTTCCTTTAAGCTAGGCAAGGACCCCAGAGTAAGTCCAGTCCTAAAGGAGGAAGCACTGGATAACACAGTTGGCTTTCATAAATTCATTTCAAGCCAGTACAATTTCCCAAAGCCCTCTGTCAGAAGACAAGGTTGCCCGAAAAGATCCAGCAGACCAATTCACATTTGCTTCTTTCCCACTAATAGTTGTATGCACTAACCCTAAAAGCAGATGCCTGCAAAGAAAAATGTAGGATAACTAATCCACAAAACAGTTATTATTAGAAAGAGTTCTGCTAAGTTCTAATTTCACATGTAATTTAAGTCTTGAGATTTTCTTTGGAACTCACAGCTGGACATAATAATTGTATACCCAGGCAATATTACAGCATAACCCTGCTAAAATGGTTTGTTTGGTTTGAAAAAACATAAAACTGAACTCTATCCTATTACTTCAACCAAAATTTGGCCAATTGTATTTGAATATTAGAAGTAATTATCCCATACTGCATGCTTTTAAGATGAAAGCTGCCAAGGGGACTGTCCTCCTATTCCAATGTAGAAGATACCAATGAAGTACTGCGTGCCTGAATGGACTAATGTTTCTTTAATGACCATTTAAAATAATACAGTGGGTACTGACACATAGGATTTGTATTGTCTCAATGACAATGCCATTCTACAGTACAAGTAATGCCTGATAACAAGAGCTGAAACCAAGTGCTAAGTGGACTCATAAATGCAACAAGCTTTTTAACAAGCTCCCCTGTTACAGATGTTACTACATGGAGAGCTACAAGAACAGAAGCAGCTAACACAGGACCACACTGACACACTACTCCATCTCACTCACCAGAGAAATGGATTTCCTCCCATCCACTGATACATACAACACACGGGAAAGCAACAGTAACTTCAAGACTCTCTTAAGCCACCAGAAACCAAGGCTAGCAAAGGAAGATAGCAGCCCACCTAGGCTTCTTCAAATACATCCTAGTTTTGCCAACTACCCATCACAAAACTCACCTTAAAAAAGTTTTCTAAGGTGATCATATGGTTTTAATGCTTTTTAATTACATTAGTTTGAAAGAGACTTAAAACAGCAGAACTGTTTCATCATCAGTAGTTAAGTGATTGCTGGACATTGGTTAGATCAGTCTGTGTAACATAGTAACTGTCCTCCTGCATTAAGTAAACACCATAAATTTCAGAGACAAACTAGGTGAAAGGGAGAACAGGAACACCCAGGGCACACTACCACTATGTATGATCTAGTATTGTGCTGTTTGTTTGGTGTTTTACCATCTCAAATTTTCTAAAATACTCTACTCTGAGAGAAGCTACCTATTCCTCTGAATTACAAAATAAAATGGAGTAATTAAACATTAAACAAAAATCTACCAGTCACATAAGCTTGGAACACTTGGCACTTTCAAAAACAACAGATATCCAACTCCCCAGTCTCAAACTACCAGAAGGAAAAGGTCAGGAAGCACTTTGCTACCACTGCTGACACCACTGAGCTCCTGTACTTCACTCATCCATTATGCAAAACGAACTCAAAATTCAGTAGGATACTTCTTCATATTTGTTCACTGATCCCAACTTTAAGTATAACAGAGTTTTAAAAGAAAGGACAGAATCCTATGCAGGTTTTTTTTTTTTTCCTTCTGCTAATCTAAGTGACAGGTCTTCATCCAAACTCATTGGTATTTAGTGAGGAAGAAAGAATTCAAAACAAATTCCTGAAGCATTTATATATATATACACACACTATATGTATGTGTGTGAATACCTACATATATATATGTGGGCACACATACACATTCACATAAACAAAAATATACATAGATGTACACACACACACCAACACACAGGTCTAGGGATCACAGCCATCGATGTATTTTCAGTACACTGTTTATAAGATAGAATAAGGTTCTCACCATCAAGAACAAAGATTTTGTGCAGGAGTTTATCATGTAAAGAAGTAAATAATATAAAAAGAGGGCAAGGACAAAAATCTATAAAATAAAAATAGTAAAAACTGCCCCAGAGGAGTGTATTAATGGCTCTCAGTAAACCTGTTAAGACTCACAACTACACTCAGTCAATTGAAAAACATGCTTACCCGATTTTCATCATAAATAATTTGGACAATACTGCGGTGCTTCTGTTCCACTGGAGGAGGGGAGACAGGCCTCTCTGGCTCTGGTGGTTTAGCAGCTTCTTCTTCGAGTTGTTGCTAAGAAACCAAAGAAAGAAAATCAGCCATCCGCACCATGTTACCCTTACAGTAATTAGTCAGAGATAGAATATGCATCGGATCAACAGTTTGCACTGTTATTCTTCTTTTTAACTGACTATGAATGAAATGGTTTCAATGTCCATGGGACAGTAACGACCACTCTGAGCTATCAGTAAACTGAATTGTTTACAAGATTCACCCGCACTGAATCAGACTTGTTCCAGCTTGACACTTCAAGCCACTGCAGCACTGTATTTTATCAAATATTTATCTTTAAACAAGAACAACAACTTCAGAGAACAGTTACACCAAACCTGTCATCCCACAGAAAACATTACCCCCATATATACCTACAACACAGAAAAACTTCTAGGTGTCATTATTACTACTTTCTCTCTTTTTATTTTTTTTTAAAAAGGTGTGCAAGAGATTCTCCACTTTCACAACTATGGAAGAAGAGAGATGATAGCCATCCCCTTAACCAGTCTTTCTGTAATTCTTGAATTTACAGTCACAGTGCCCTTGTTTCATTGGACATCTAACAAGAGTTTAAAATAAAGTCATCTGCTTTTGGTGTTTCTACATGGCTTTCTCTTAGTTTCAAGATGTTTAAAATTACATTGCATCCAATCTATTTAAACGTTCCAAGAAAACTGTGCACACAACCTTTCCTTTTTAACCTTTGGTTCACATAACCAAAAACAAAAAAATCACCACTAACACAAGAGAAGCAGTTTTCCCACATATTTTGCACTAGCAGATAAAACAGCAGTGTCTGCTATGCTCACTTGCTTTTTCTTCAGCTTAAGGATTTGCTGTTCAACCTTCGCAATCTCACGATCCACGCGGTCCATGCTCTGTATCAGTTCTTCCTTTGACAGCTTTGAAGGTGAAGCATTCTGGTCCTCCCCACACGGTTGACCAGAAATTGGAGAAGATGGTCCCTCATGCTTTCCTCCAAAACCTGGGTCCTTTCATTGGGACAAGAGGGGGGGCAGAATTGAGAAAAATCAGTCATATTAATAACATGCAAATGAGTGTTCAGTAACTAAACTGGCATGCATGAATTAAACAAGAACTTCCAGTTATTTATAGCTTAGGTAGCTCTTCAGCAGAGATAAAGTTTAAGATTTCAGATTATCAGTGCTCTAATTATCTTAGAATCAATTGACAGCTCATTTATGTTACTACAATTTCAAAATCCATCTTTAAATATGGAAGCATAATGCTAATTATTTTTATCACGAAATGAAAATAAGATCAAAACGTTTCCCTTCTAAAAATACATCTTCATAAATATAAATAGTAACTTCTATTTTGAAAGGTAGGGGTCACTTAAGAGACAACCCTCAATACTCTGCACATATACTGATGACGATGCACTTGAACAGAACTGTGATCAGAGAGGAGCACATCTGGAGTTATGTGTGGAGATGCTTTGAAAGGACAGGTCACAGTTCATTTGGCTTTGCTTTCTCATCACTTTTTTCCCCCCCCACGTGTTTCCAAAAAACATCAGAACATGGAACACACTGAAATATGTGAGTACTGTTGTAGCTTGATTTTATTTGCATCCTCAGAAATGACGCTCTGCAACTGCTTAGCTGGCAATGCTAACTTAGCAAATGCATCCCTCACTCAAGCCAGTCTAACCAAAAGATTGTTCCTGAATGCCATTTCTTAAGATAACACAGGGACGTATTTCTAAACTGAGACAGTAGATTTCTACATGTAGTACCTGGGTAAAAATTCAGTAACATGCACGCATACTAACACTGCATGTCTTAATTTGGTTTCTCCAGCCCCCTTTGATCTTATCTTTGCTATGCAGCCCAGCAAGTTACTAAGAGATAATGTGCTATCCTAATTTTACTTTACTTCCCGGACAGCTTTACTTACTTGATAAAAGAAGTAGTAAAGGCAATGCAAGACAAATATTCTACTTTAAAATCTGAATCCATGTGCTAAATGCTTTCTTTAATGATAGGAGCTTAGAAACTCGAGCTTACCATGACACACAATTTTCACCTTCAGTATTATGAGAGAAAATGCCTTTACCTTCTTAATGTCTGCAGATCTCAACCCTTCCTGCAGAGGATGTACTAAAGGCAAGACAGTAGCAGCACTGACACGCTGAAAATGGGAATCAGAAACTTGTTCAAGACGTGGTCGCTTAGATTCCAGTGAATCATGATCTGTCTGAGATGGACCTGGATGAAACTGCTGTTCATATCCAGTTCTCCTTTCCTGAGGCCTAGTACACAGAAGAGATCATAAGCTATTAAAATACACATTTTTATGCAACAAATGTATTTTTTGTTCCTCAATCCTTACCAAACGTACAGGAAACACAACTTAGCAGAATTCTTTCTGAACAGTAAAGCAGAAAAACATTTCTAAGTGCAGTCTTCAAAAATATAATAGTTAAAATCCATTGAAAAAGAGTTGAATCTTAAAAGATGCTGTTTATATGCATTCCTATCATTGCAACCGCTTAAAGAAACCACTGCTGCACTGATATTGTTCAAATCAAAGCTTTGATTCAAATTATAAAAATAAAAAATCCCTGAGATAAAGATAGCACTATATTCAATAGAGCACAGATGGCTACAACAGCTCCATTATTTCATTTTTGCAATCAAATCATTTTGAACATACACAGAATGCTTGAAATGAACCATGAGCTTATGTGGAATTTGATCTATAGTCAAATGCTATTAAAATGCAGGTGGAACCAGGGACCTTAAAGGTCCCTTCCAATCCAAACCATTCTACGAATCTACATTCCTGTGATATAACCAAAATAAGCTGCTAAAATTAATACAGTGTATGAGATTACTCCTAGCAGTAACATGTACTAAAAGGCCAAGAAAGAAGGTTGTTACAACCAATAAGATCTGCTTAGACTTTGTACATCAGCATACTAATACACTGAACAACTGATGTGCACAGATCATACAGTAACTTGTCCCTTAAACACACACATAATCCTGCCAATTTTCTACAACCCAATTCATCTCACACTGGTCTGATATCTACCAAAAACTTTTTCTTGAGCCCATCATCTCTACATAAGATTAATGACTTCAATATTGATTGTAAAGTAACCTATTTTACTGAGAGGATATTGCCAATCTGACACTAAATGACAATACATGATTCACTGTAGCTGTTCACTAACCTGTCCTCACTTAACCTACTGGACCCAGATCATTTGCATGCATTTACACACCCAGGAATGTTATACCAGACCCACAAAAAGGGTATTTAACACAAATGATAAGAAGCTGTCAAGTCTCTTGCCAAAAGCAGCATACTTCAGTCTCATTTTTGTGCCAGTTTGGTGTTCTACAATTTCTGCAACTCAAATACCCAATTAGCTCCATTGTTTATTTCTTACCCAGGCACACAAATACCATCTGTTGAATATGCAAACCTAAGAATTTATTCCCACTGTAATCTAGGAAATATAACTAGTAATATTCACACTGTTAATGATTCTTGCATTTGTTACTCTGACTTTGTGAAATCAAATTATCCAAAGATGGTATTTTGCATACTTTTAGCCTAAAGCTTTAGAAGCTTGCAATACGCAGCTGTATCCTAGGAGCTTTCTGTAGGGAGGGTGCAGCAGATTGTTACTTCCTGTCTGTGAAGCAAATGTAATTGAAGCAAAGGAACTAAGGAATTACACAGCAGATGAAAACCAGGCAGACCTACAACACTCAAACGCAAGAGACCACAACTGCTCAGCAATGGAGCACTGATGAGTAAAGTCATGTATGTACTCAGGCGAAATTGTGAAACTCAAAACGTTTCTACTCAGAAACTACAACTCACTTCACAGAAAGCAGAGACATAAAAGATTCCTCTTCATGTAAGTCAGAAAGAGAATCCTAACCTGTCAGAGCCTGGGTGAAATTCTGAAAGCAAAGAAGGCCGGCGCCGAAGCTGCTGCTGTTGCTGCTGCTGCTGCAAGAGTTGTGTTGCCTGACTGACTTCCAGGTGAGACGAGCGATAATCGGGAACTGCAAATTCCTAAAGGAAACACACTTCAGATGTTAACGAATACAAAAGGCACAAAAGACAGGATGAAAAGCGTTTGGTGTTATAGAGCAATCATTTCTTCAAACATTTAAAACAGACCAGGACCAGATCACCAAAGCCTTACTTGAGCTCAAACAGTGAAATATATAAAGGGCAGTTCTCACTTTAAATGAGCACATTATTTGAAAATAAAGGAGAAAACCAAGAAGCTTCAGATTTTGAATTTCCTTTTCTAAACACAAGAGCAGAGTAAAACAGATCCAAATTATCTGTAGTGGGAGGAGAATTTCATTGAAATAAGGAAAGCCTGAGCTGTCCTAGAGGCAACAGGCAGTCGTCCCCAACCTATAATTCCACAGCAAGCCCACAATGACAGAGCACACGCTCAGCAGAAATGAGCAAGTCAGAGATCCTTAGAAATCCATTCCCCCACTTCTGGCAAGCAGAATGCAACTGGCTGGAAGCACTTTTACAGATGCTTCAGAAAAAGTTTGGGGTAAAACACATCGGTATGCTTTAGATTCACATTCTCCAGCATGAACGCAGATTTTGTCAAGCACAACATCAGCTTAGAGCCAATCCAACCCAACGCTCCTCATGCACAGGTTTACTTTTGTCCTCTTGGGCCTAAGAGGAAATTTCCCATACAGATTCAGCACTCACCAATGCCCCACTCCTCCATCCTCACCAGAGATCTGTTACACCCAGAACCCTGCATTCATATTAAACACACAGTGACTGCAGACAAGTTATTTGCAGATTCTTGGAAAATTCCTCCCATCAATGCATATGGACTCAGCAACACTTGCATTGGCCAAATTTAGTACAATGACTAAACATTACTGAATTGAAGCAAAGCTAAACCAGAAGTTTATGAAAACAATCCACAGTGAATTTATTCAAGCTAGGAGAAACCGATGATAAGAACCGGAATTTAACATTAATTCTCCATGATAAAGATATAAGATTACAAAATTCAGATTTCTAAAGAAATATATATAAATAAATAAAAGGAGAGAGGCAGGGAAGACATTTATTTGCCTAGATAACACAAGCAGCAGTTCTCCTCAGCAGGGAAAACACTTCATTTGCCACTTCAAAATTATTTTACTTTTGATTTTTCAATACTAAAAAAGAAGGTATTTTAAGACAGGCCAAATCTTTAAAAAGTGTTTTGTTATTTTTAGTAGATTCGTAAACGTTAAATACTGCAGGAAATGCTGTCAAGCCAAAATATTGCCCAGGATTTTATTTAGGGTACCTTCACAATTCTATGGAGCATTTTTAAATTTTAGTCTGCGTAAAAAGAACTGGAAGGAAGGAGAGGGGGAACAGGCCAAAAGTAAGCTTTAAAGAGCCAAATTTGAAGGCAAGGATTTCAGCAATTTCATCTACAGTATTGCAGCAAGGCATAAATCAACAGGTAATTACGACCTTTCCAGTTCATACTTCAGAAGGAATCACAGCACCAAATTACTACAGATTATACTTCCCAGAAGTTACACCACAGTCAGACCCTCATTTACAGAGGAATCAACTCAAAGTGGACCCATCAGCCTTGATTTAATTTCAAGGCTACAAACAACATGGGGCACAAATTTTCCCAGTCAGCTTTATCTGGGCATACTGATCAGCAACTGCTCAGTTTTCGGATGTGAAGAACTCATGTGACAGCAGTAAAAAAAAAAAGTCCCATTTGACACAACAAATACCTGAATTATTTCTTGCTAGGACTGCAACCTTTGTGGCTCCTTACCTGCTGGTGTCGGGTGCTGGGGAAGGTGTACTGGACAGAGTGGGTAGGGTAACGACTCTGCTCTGTGCTGAATGCTCCTTGGTTAGGAGGGTAGCCTGAACTTGACATTATCAGAGAAGAAGTCTTCACAAAGCTGTGAGATCAAGACCAGCAAGCAATCATGTTTCTAGGAAACCGCCTAAAGGAAAAAAGATCACTGATAAGCACTGAAGTACCAGATGTACCCACAATACATTACAGCCATAGTCACCTAAGCAAAACAACCATTACCAGTAAAAGCTTTTTCCTGATGTATTTATTTAATAGGTTACTCTAGTCTGAAACATGTTAACGGGTCTTAAATGGGCTCAAAAACAGGTATGTCAGCATTGTCTACACAAAGATTTGAGGATTATACTGTCAGAATACATCATTTTACCAGCTACCAGTTGAATTAATAGGATTTTAAAGAAAAGTAGGTCACTCAAATAGGTGTTAAGAGGTTATAATAGTCCATAAATGGAACCCACAATATATAGTAAGTTTCTTTAGCTCAACATGAAGTTCACTTTCTTTTCTACTGCAGCTTTTGGATTCTATGAACTCTTTCCTACTTTCAGGTAGACTTAGGGCTGCTTGACTCAGCGCTGCCTACAGTTCATTAAACCACAATGCATTAGTCAAGCCATAAAGTATTATTACCACCTAAGAGCAGCTTGACAGAAGTAGTTCTCAGAAAAGGAAAAAAGCCCTCACAGAGGAAAATAAGCTCATTCAGTTCACAGCATACATAGTGTGTCCCATATGGGATGGTAGGAACTGAACATACTATGAAGCTTTGAAACAATCCAGCAATAGTAGACACTCGATGACAAATTTGCCTCTACTGCAAATTAGCTGCAGATTAACAGTGGAATGTACACTGATAGGAGGAAGATTAAAATACTGGGGGGGAAAAAAGGCCACTAACAAAGTTCAAGCGTCCATAAAGCAGTGTACAGCTTTATCTGCCTAAACCATCTGCTGAAGATCAGAAGACAGCAACCAAACATGAACGCTGCCCATTAGTGCTTAGAGCACTTCTCCATGCAGGTGAATTACAAAAGAGAATTCCTTTTTTTAAAGCATAAGCTGTTTCTTCCTGACAGCCCAGAAGAGGCAATCCTTGGAGCCTGAAGTAGTAAATACAGAATTCTATCAGACCTGTAGCAACCTCTGCTCTGGAGCCCAGCAGACATGCAGACCTTCAAACAAAGTAATGCTGTTCCCTGACCAGATGGCTTCATTTTTAAGCGCATTCAACTGCAACTTTTCACAAACACCAACATAAAATTATGCTTCTGAACTGTGGTTTCCATTAACAGTCAATAGACAAAATCCGCTTAGGAAAAGATCTGACAGAGCAAGCTATACAAACAGATTTTCAAGTTTATCTAATGTATTTTGTCACTCCTGCCCTGATTACTTTCCTTTCCCACCTCTCCATCAAAGAAACCACTGGAGTTCAAGCCTTTCTGTCTACAAGTCCTTAGCAGCTTTCTCTTCCATTGGTTCACCCAGCTGTTTGCTGAAGCAGTACAAGTTCTCGGCATGCACAAGCACTCTTTGCACTTCTACAGCTCAGTGACATCTTGCATGAGAAACCATCAGCTTTTGTTTGCTTTGGACCTGCAACCTTCATTTGGTATCCGTGCTTTTGGCACTGGAACAAACCAAACATCTAATTTCTAGGTTTTTTTCCCCCCCACCACACATGGGATTCTTCAGAATTCTTTCATATCCCTTTAGCCATATTTTTTCCACGCTGAACAATCTTAGTCTGCTTGGTTCCTCATCAACTCGCTTCAAAACCTTCTCAATTTGCAGCATGTCCACTCTGAGGCACAGGATGCCAAAAATGCACAGTGTTCTGGGAGAGCACCAAAAAACACTCTCTATTCCCTTCCCTGGCACGCTGGCCATGGGCAGATCCAAAGAATGTGGAGAAGCAGACAAGGTCCAGGAGAACAACAGCCACCTGAAAATAAGGCACGAACACAGCCAAGTACTGTGTGTGATTCAAGGTCCTCTCTAGTTCACCTCCGTCATGTCACATCTTATTTTCTCTATGCTCTGACAAACCAGCAGGTTGATCATTAACTCAGGTGCTGAAAGCTCGATTCAGGCTCGCTTTGCATGATGCTGTAAAGGCTATTTCTCCATTCACAAGAATTTCAGTGTACAGGTTGGTAGGTTTGTGTTACAATTGTCAGTTCTGAAGTCTTCCCAACCTGCCCATGGCTAGTAAACCATACACTTAGCCACTGGGAGCAATCTCAGACACTGGTGGTAAAGACATCCAAGATCCCTTTGCTTACCTAACAAGTAAATTTTATCCAGGGCAGGGGGAGGAAAAGAGTAACTCACTCATTCAAAAGCAATGAAGTCCTAGGTGTTGCTCCAAGGGCAGGATGGGGACACAGCACACAAGTGTGAACATCCTTCATCAGTCCAGCAACACAGAAAAATGCCCCGTATGTACTATATAAAGCCTGCAGATCAAGAGATATGAAAACATGCAGTCTAATGGCCTTCCAATTGGGAACTGGAAGTATGACCACTTCTGTAGCAACAACTCAAAAAAAAAAAAAAAAAAAAAAAGTGTGAAGCAAAATCTGCCTACAGCAGAAGGCAATAAAAACAGCAATACAGCTCAGAATTGAGGTCAGTGGGAGGTGGAAGTGAAGAAAGAAAAAAGAAAAGCAGAAGCTTTCAGTGGCGGGGCTGCACCACTCCCCCCAAGGGCAGGAAGAGCAGAGGAAAATGTACGGTTACATAGTGACACTGAAAAGGTGCCGAGGGAACCAAAGGATGGGGATCCTGCATAAGGCCTCATTTCATTCATGACAAAAACGACATTGTAGCACAATACATAAAGTGAGGCTTGAGGATAACATTCCTTCCTCTCTACACCTGCCATTCCCATTAAAAACGTTTGTGTGCCTGCGTACTCTCCTTATCTGACCTCTTTACATGCCCTGCAGACCCCACCTTATCTGCTGATCTCTTAGTATGAGCATGTTTACATTCTGTCATATTGGGCCTGGGAGCTTGCTGGCATTTGCCCATGGAATTACCACCAACATTATGCACCTCTCTCCCTGTTTTATTACCTTGATCCTGCAACTGTGGCTGCACATACATGAGTTTGACTGTTATTTCTCTGCAGACCACCCTACAGCCACCCACCTGCCTCCCTCTTCAGCTTTTGCTTACATGTGTCCAGAGCATGGATTATTCCTCACCAACCTATCTCCTGGCCAAGGAGGGCAATGCCAGCCTCCTGCTCTAACTTCTCCAGCTCCCCCACATTCAAACTATATTTAAACATGGTCTTCTTTTGCATCTAACTATAACCATCCGTACAGACTGCACACAGTCCCATCCATGCTTCCCTCTCTGCTCTATCTTCTCTTTCCTCATGACAAACCATGTCTACACAAACCCAACCAGAATTCTCCTGTAAAGCCCACTGTTATCAAGTACGTCTGCCTCTCTGAACCTTCCACCAGTTCCTTCTTCCATGCTGGGCCAAAAGCTGCTCACCTTCATTTTTAGCATCCTTGGCAAACTGGGATACAGGAAATCAAATTCCAAATCTGCTCAGTCAATGATAGCAAAATCATGTTTTTTCACTTAGTATTTTCATACCTTCCTCTCACGTCCTTCTGCAAAACTCAGAGCTTTGCTCATAAAAACATTCATATGAACCACTGTAGACTTTGGATTTGTGCCTTAAATGTCTGACAAAGATAAAGCTAGGTCATGAATGCTTCCACACAGCCACATCCACGCCGGCCAACTGTCCGTCTCACTGACAATCAGAAGGGGAAGAAATACAGGAAATACACATTTCTTGCTCTCTACTTTCATAACCCAGCCCATTCTTCTTGCATCCCAGCCCAGGAATGACATTCCCAGATTGAATGTCCAAAAGATGGGAAAACTCAGTAGTGTCAAATGATTAATATATAAAATAGAAAATAAATTGAAAATAAAAGGGAAGTCAGCATAAAGAATCCAAAAATATACTGTTAAATCTAAAGATTCCTAGCTGAGAAAAAGCAGTGACACCTTTGGGAACTATGAGGGTACGCTCAGGAAGTGTGATAATTCAAGCTTTTCAGGCAAGGAAATTATTTAACACTGTTTATATCCAAAGATATGGCAACACATTCATTCACCCAGCTCTTACTGAAACTCTGCCTTGCACTTACATTTGTCCTATGCAGAGAATATTGAGTCAGTTACAAATAATCCAGAACTGGATATTACAAGAGCAAGAGTCACAGTGTAATTTCAGAGTTGGTTCTAAGAGGCCATACTAATTTGAACAGTATCTCTAAATCTGCAGGTCTCAAAATGCTTCAGAAAGAAGCAGAACTACATAGTAAGCCTCAGTGCCCACATGGGAAAATGAGTCACTGAAAGGTCAAGGCATCATCAAAGACTACCGTGAAACAGTCACTGACTGAATCAGAAATCAGACTCACATCCCCAAGCCTTGGCTCGTGGATTTGTGGCATCTGAAGTGGGCAAAAGGCAGCACTGCCCCAGAGGAAAGCAGTACTTTGCGTGGAAAAACACGGTTAAAAACCATAACTGTTTTCAGCAGGCCAGTTCCCCAATTCAAACCATTCGACACGTGGCCAGACAGACGTGTAGGGCAACAAGAGGGAAGGTCAGGAGGGCAGGAGCAGGGCAGCCATCTCCTCGCTGCTCCGCTCGCAGCTTGGGATGGAAGGACCACTCTGCTTCTCTGGGGTAGATTCAATTTTTCTTCAGACATACGAAACAAGCTAACACTTCTGCATTCACAGTCATTTTTGTGCCATCTTGAAGTACTTAACCAACATTTGCTAATTAAATTTCACATTCTTTGGGGAATTTTCCTCATCTTGTTTTTGAGCAACCTAAGCGCGATAGCAACGAGTGAGATTACAGCCAAAGAAAGCTTCAATCGAGTTGTTTAAAACAAAATCTGCAGCCTCCATAAAGCGAGCTCTGATGTAACAAAGCTGCAGCAAAGCAAGGAAGCTCTGCCTTAGGCAGGGGGTCTACAACATAACATGGAATTCATACAGGGATATCTAGTCAAATTTAATGCAGCAAGAAAATGAAGAGTGCAGAGAAAGTTTCAGCAGTGGTTATTCCAGTGGT